TGAATCAATGCCACGTAGAATTAAGGCAGTTCTGAAGGCGAAAGGGGGTCAAACACCGTATTAGTATGGTGTTCCTAATAATCCTTTAGGTGAGATTATATTGGCTGTGTTATTCAAATCTGATGCGAGCCATTTATTTTTTACAGCAAAGAATTGTGGGAATTTATCATGGATGGGGGAAACAGGACCAAAGCCAAGTCACTAGTAATCATTAAATCAGACAGTTTTTTGGGATAAAAAGAGTGCTCCCCCTCCTGGCAGAGGGCTGCACAGCCTGCCTGGGGACGACATCGTCCATCACAGGGGCGAGCACCCCTGCTCCGTATGGGACTACATGAAGCTCCTCTCTGAGCATGACAGCATAACAGACGTTTTTATTTCGCCACAGGTCCCTCACGCATCTCGCCGGCGGCCCGCCGGAGCTTGCCGTCTGAGGTTCCGGTCGCATGAATCTGTCCTGCCGGTGCTCTTAGGTTTCTGCCCCATTTAATTTTAAGCCGTCTCTTTAGAACCGGCTGACAGAGGGACAGGAAATGGGTTTGGCGATCGATACGGCTGTTCCTGGGCCCGCAGTCATGTCCCGTCCTCTCCGGCTGCTCGTTTTCCCCTTTCAGGGTCACGCCCTCCTTCTTCCCTTAATTTTTCTCTGTTTCCCCCACCCTACCCTGTAGTGTGTTTCACTGGGTTCGGATGCTGTGCCTGTGATCAGAAGGCCGGCAGTTTAAATCCTGCACTCAGTATTCTCACTGTGGGGCCCTTAAGCGAGAGCCCTGACTGCAGTTGCTTCAGGGACTATCTGACTTGCTTTTTCAGTTGTATATTGCTTTGGATAAAAGCATCTGCTAAGTAAGTAAACATGCATCCAAAAAGCTCCTCATGAAACACTCGTGCTGCTCCACCGCTTATCACAGCTTCAGCCTGGCCTGCTCTTTTCAGCCTTTTCAGCTTCTGTTTCGACCGTTCAGGGTTCCCCTTTTATTTTGCATGTTTGTATGTTGGGAAACACAGTGGCTCAGTGGGCAGCATTGTAGCTTTATGGTTCCTGGTTTTGTGTTTTCATAGTCTCCATTTATTTGCATGGCTTTCCTCCCGCAGATCAAAAACATCCGGTTAGGTGAACTGGCTTCTCCAGCTCGCTCATAGTGTGTGATTGTGTCGGCCTGGCGTCACATCTAGGGTGTCCTGTGCGGTTTGGGATAGGATCCAAGCTCACTGCGTCCATGTCCTAGATAAGCTGCACAAAATGGTAGATGAATGATTATTTATAGCTGCAGAATTTCCAGATTGTATTCAGTCCCCCTTATCCCATATAGGGACATGGTGAGCCTAGAGTCTGTCCCAGGAAATGCAGGATACACTGGACGGCATGCCAGTCCATCGCGGCCACACTCTCGGGGGAGTCCGGAGGCACCAGTCCATCTAACAGCATGTTTTTGAACTGCAATCTGCACAAACGCAGGGGCCACATGCAAACTCCATGTGCACAGAGCCGGAAGAGGGAATCGAACCCTTAACCCTGACAACCACCAAGCCACTATGCTGTCAATGCAATAATAACTAGCCACATAAATATAAGCCGCAACCAACAGTAGTTTCAACAAAGAATATATAAAGAATATATTTTCTGAGCCAGTACAGCTCATCCAGGATACAAAAATAAGAGCTGTGATTCAGCTAAGAATATTCTGCTGTGCTAGTCGGGGTTTCTGAGGGAATGCGACTATTGAAAGTGTTTTATGCCTCGTTCAAAGCCAAGCGCTTATGAAACGTATAAGCTGTTGGATGTAGATAAGAGCAACAGTAAAAAATTTTAAAAGACAATAAATGAGCCTAAAAATACTCAGAGTCAGCTTAAGTAATTGTTGGATTTTAGCTGTGGCACCAGGAGTGATGAGCAATTGCATCACTTTCTTATTGTCGCGCTGTTATTTTTACACTTAGTCATTATAGCTGCGTGGGCAAACATTCACGGTAGTGATGGGAGATTGGCTTAGTACAGTGAGGTATCAGCTGTCAATCACAAACTGGTTCAACCCCCTGGTGTCCAGTGAAGCAAGCAGTGTGAAGCAAATTTGCCTCATCATATATTACACAAATTACGGTAACTAATAATCATCATCGATTCACACTTCTGACGATGCACTTGGTCACAGTGATTGCAGCTGGGATTGTAGGATGTTTTGGATCTACGTCTAATCATACACCCTTGCCCAGGTGACCCAGTCAGGGATGATCATACCTCAGCTTGTGTCCATGCTGCATGTGTGACTGGCTCACTTTATTCACAGTCATCTTGATAGCCAATGCTAATTAGGCACAAGCAATTGAAAGTGTCCCCCTTATGATATACCAAGTGACCTTTTTAGATAACCAATGATCATGCAGGAATTTCCCCCTGCCCTTCAATCTCGAAAATTTACCAAGCCCCCCCACACCGGCCAGCAAAAATGTACAGGTTGCCCGTACCCATATTAGATTAGTTCGTCTGTGATTGGTTTGTTTCCTTGATTGAAAGATTCATCCAGCTGTTCCATAATAACATTAGTGACACATGCATGATTATAGGAGACTGACCAATCAGCACACAGCAAAAACTTAGTGCTTAATGAAATCCTGGCCCTTTTAATTTAAATCCTGTACTTGCTCAAAGTGTCGTCCTCCCTGATGTGGATTATCAGGTTGCCCTATAAATGCACCTAAAAGTATAGTGTAGAGCTGAGTTCGGCAATTAGTTTCAAACCACGGGCAAATAAGAATATATACTTTTTGGTGTGTCACAATATGTGGATAATTTATGATAATAGACACGTTTTATATGTTATCAGTAGACTTTTGTTTATGCCAGGGGTGGGGAATCTGTTCCATAGAAGGCCGGTATGGGTGCAGGTTTTTGGTATGGCCTCTCAATCAGCCAGTTACAGTGGGTCCCCAGGACTGGAGTTGAGAACCACTGATTTATTATTAGCTGACTGAGAGATCATCCCAAAAACCTGCACCCACACCGGCCCTCCATGGAACAGGTTCCCCACTCCTGCTTTATGCAGACAACGTGGATTTTGAAAACCATCAGTCTGTTGGCTATTTAAAGTTAGAAGTTTTAAACAAGTAAATTCCAAAAGGCTACATATTTGGCATAATGGACCTTGAAGTCAGCGTTGCATGGTAATAAGGAAATCCCGGCTTTCCTTGCCTGTCCTTAAATAAAACATGTTGACACTAGCCAAAATCAGACCTGGAATTAAATTATCATAGGAATGCATTATGTAAATATGTGTTATTTATTAAATCTGATCTAACCACTGACATGCATTTCAGTAATTATGGGAATTGAATGTTAGGGAAGCCCAGTTGTGTTTATAAATAAACTGCTTTACATTACTGGTGCATAAGCCACATTTGTGGCTCTCCAGTGCAATCCAGTTCCTTGTCCAAACATACTGCATATGTCAAGATGCTCAGTGAAATGGGCACGAATAAATGAAGATGCTGAGGCTGTAAGATTTGTGCAGGTGTGTTGCCCAGCAACTTGGGTGCTGATCTTAAAGGAGACTGCTGACCCAGGCTTTACTCTCTGGATGTATTTTTTTGGCCCTGGAGGGCAGGTTTAATATGAGGTTGTACAGTGTTGCTGTGCCAGTGTCTGATGTTGAAGTTTCGGGTTTGAGTCCCGATTCCCAAGATTAGCGGACATTGCTGAAGAATAGCAGTAGTAATATAACCCTCCCCCGGCGCTTCAGCCCCCGGTACGCACTGACGTTATGTGATTAATATCTTACTTGATATCTAATAGCTCATAATTTCGCAGTGAGTATTCACTGAGCAAGCAGTCTGCTACGCCGATTATCTATAAGCCGAGTCGTTTTCGTAATGCTGTTTACGTTTGTTAGAGGCGCAGATACAACAGTAGCCTGTAATTAATGTGGCCTGGCTCTTTCTGTCAAAAGATGTGTTTTGGTTAAACTTCTGTATGCATTAATATTTGAATTGTGATGTCTTTCAGAAGGATAACTATGTTCTTTGAATTTGCTTTTAATTGTTTACTATTTTCTATCTTTTGCTTACCTTGAAGTTGCTTTTAAGTTATTTTATGAGTTTGTGCATAACACCGTTCTTCGACAGGACTAGTTAATTAAACATTATGATTGGATTCATAGGTCTGAGTTCGTTATCGTTATATGGAGATATGCGCTTTATATTGAGGGAGTGGACGTATGACTGAAGAACAGCAATTGCTCGGCTTGTTTCAACGTCAGTGTTTCTGCATGAGCACACTGACACGTTGTGCGTTATTAATGTACTATTGATATGCATATTTTAGTATCCTTGCTGGGTTTTAATGAACCCATTTTGCGCAGGCATCCACATACATAGAAGCGGATTTTTCTTTTTTGTCTTTGGAGGGCCGTGAAGTCAAGTCAAAAAGGCATATTGGCTTGAACTTTAAAAATATGCCTGTATGAGAACGGTGCGTCTAAATTGTGGTTTTCATCAGTTTGAATGTAGCACTTCAAAATGTCTTATTCTTTCACACGCCCAAGACGTGCCGTGACGTTGCCGTCGGTTAACAGTCCGAGGGACGAAGCAAGATAGCCGGATAAATTGTCGGATTTAAGGTAGACTCTGCTAATGTGTAAAATGCATATAAACTGGGGTACCTTAAATCCGACAAGTTATCCTGCTAAGGCAGAAATCGGGCTTCCTGAAAGATGCCCTTACCGGTATACTGTATATATATAGTGACGTATCAGCCCGTCGGTGACACATTCAGTTAAGTACGGTTACCGTGTGACTATTCTCACTGTGTGCTTTAATATTAAACAACTTACCTTTTTATTTTCGAGCAAAATATTCTCGTTTGACCTAATTAAAGCCTTGTAGTGATTGTTGTTATTAATTTTATAATTATTAATTATTATTAGACCTAGCTGTTATTATTGAAACGCCATTGTCTGCCAGTCATGTCATGCTTGGTTATTTATTAATGGTGAAAAGCAGAGATCCACAGCTAGGTAAATTAGCTTCACCGTAGATAAATAGATATATTTTATTGATCCCCAGGGTAACCGGTAAGGTTCCGGGAAAAGTGTGCTGTCGCCTTCGAAGCCAAACGTCAAAATTTGGCCTGATATGTTTATTTCGTTATTCATTTAGCCTTTCTGTCAGTGCCTTGTTTTACTGTTTTTCCAACTCATAACCCTTAGCCTATAGCTGGCATAACGCATGGAGGACGCAGACAACTGTATACTGGTTGTTGATCTAGTTTTTGTCGGATAATCAGAAAACCGTAAAAGAGCTCGAGGTACAAAGGAGCGTCAACGTCAGCCGCCACGCGCACTCCCGCGCGGAAAGGCGCCGTCTGAGCGCCGCGCTGACATGATTAGTCTGCCGTCGCACAAGGTCCACAGTATAGCTCTCCCAGGACTGTACGTATTTCGCTTTACTGTGAAACTTTAGTTTTTATTTATTTATTGTGCCAATGAGTAGCGTCAGCTACTGAACCAAATGCTCTGCTTTTCGCCATGTCTCACGAGTGCATCCGTTTGGCCTACATGATTAATTTCCTGCTGAGGAAACAAGTGACTTTTTAAGTCCTGCCAATGATTTCATATTTCAGAAAAACCATAATTCCCCTTTCTCTGACTTTGACAGATGACAAAATGAATGAAGCCTGACAGCATAGCAGAGAGTTCGATATTGGGTGGGGTGAGCGGGACAACTTAATTATTTAAATACAAAGGGCTACTTATTGAGGGTGATGAATGAATCCAAGTTAAATATTGATATATCATCCACGCCCCTCATGAAGAAAGGAGGTGATTGCTGTGGCCTGAGCAGAGCCTTGGAAACAATGTGTGTGTTTTTTGTCCTTGCGCTGTACAGAGGCCAGATGAGGAGGTGGTGGTGGACCAGGGAGGGACGAGCTCCATCCTCAACATCCATTATGAGAAGGAGGAGCTAGAAGGTATGTTAGTGTTGGGGAGTCTTTTATGTCGCCTATATGGAATCACTTCCTGGTGTGCGATGGCCTCCCTCTAGCCTACAGGTCACATCTACTCTATGGCTGCTATTGTGTTACAAAGCACTGATGATAGCTTGGAGACAGCAGCTTGAGCCCCAAATATGACGGGACAAGTAATAAATTGCTGAAATAATAGACACAATAGTTGCCTGGATCAGAAAACAGCTATATACCGCAGAATAAAAAATGCATAAATGCACAATTCAGTAACTAAATCAAGGACAAATCAGCTAGTCAAATTCCATCAAGATAAAGAAAAAAAACATTCAAAGGACAACTAGATTTCAGTATAAGTTTGACCCCTTCTGATATAAAGGACAATAATGGTAATTTGGTCTATAACGTTTAGTAAATTTGCTTCTAGATAAGATTGAGCCTGTACCAGTATCCACCTGACAAAAAACACTTTAGATAACATAAATAAATACATCCAGCCCAGTATTAAAAACCCAAATAGTGTTGGTTGAAAATACAGATTTTTATAGATTACTAACTGGACTAATGTTGGTGGGTCCCGGGATCAGCTAGCCCCATGTTAATTCTCCCGCTTCCTGGGTTTGTGGTATCGGCAGACTTTCATCTCGATTTGTCCTCGTGACATAGACTTCCTCATGATGATGACACTGTCAGAGACACATGTTCTGGGACATTGCATGTTACATGTGTCATTTTGTGTTGACAATAGGTATCAGAGAATGTTATCTGTACCGATTTCATGTGGAGATGCATTATTAACAATTTTGTGAGCGGCGTTGCTGATAAGGATGCCGGGGGGGTTTTGGGAGGGGGGGGTGGCACGCTTTTATTAATAATGTAAGAGCCACAGAGCTTTGTGTCCCATGGGCCAGTGAGCAGGTGTTGTTCACGCGTTTTTTTTTTTCCCGCTTTCGCTTTCAAGCCGGCTGCCTTATCTCCACCTAATTGTCACCACGGAGAGGATGTCAGTTATAAAGATCACGGATCAGTCGCCTTCAGCTGGGCTGCCCAATTGTTACACGCTGGTCTATGTGAAGTTTAAAGGGCTGTCGTTGTAGCCCTGGCTCATTATACTAACCTAACTGGTCCATTTAATAGTAAATTGCCTATAGTGATGATAGACAGACAAACAGACCAGCTTTATTAATCCCCAAAAGAATATTAAGGATTCTGATATATTCCATCTGAAAGGGCATCATGGTTGTCATTTTTAAATACTCAGAAATAACAAAATGGACTTTTAATAATAAGCAGAAGATGGGGCAAGGGGTCATTCATACCCCTGGCCCTGTAGGAATGTCGAATTCGAATCCAATGCAGCGACAGCCGGCTGCTCCTTTCCTCAGTGAAGCAGTGGTCTTAGGGTTTGTGTTAACTTGATGCTTGATTCTCCAATTCACCCTCCCCCCTTTTAGGACACAGGACGTTGTTTGTGGGCGTGCGCATGCCCCTGGCACGGCAGAGTCACCGGCACCACCGGCCCCACAGCTCCCGGCACCGCAAGAGGGACAGGATGAGGGACAGCGTGACACACGAGGAGGAGGAGACCTCAACGGCGTCTCATGGTGAGAGCCCCCCCCCATGGAGATGGGAGCAGCTCATCGAGAGGCTGGCCTTGGGGTTGATCACACAGCCCCCAGAGGGAGGTCACCAGTCACGTGGGCCATCTTAGGAAGCGGGCCAGGCTGCGCGTTAAATAAAGATCAAAGGAACCTTCCGGAAAGATCGGGAACCTTCCAGATCCTGACTGTGCTGGGGGAAACACGGCGTGCAGTTGGTGAATTGCTCTGCTGTACGGTCCCTCCAGTGCAAGATCTTTGCAGCATCGAGTTTTAAAAATCAAGCTTATGATTGACTTAATTGGTCTGTTTATTTCATGTGCTTAACCTGTCAGGTTTCCAGGTGTGGCTTACGTTGTTTGGGAATAGCAGACCTTTGTTTGATCTGTCAAAGGCGCAGTCGATACTGCGGTCCTGATGAGTGCTTTTAAATCATACAGTTGCTGATGGATGTGATCACCCACCCCACCCCCAGCCCTACAAATGCTTCTCAGGCAAGAATTAGTGCATCAGCTAATTATGCTTCAGGAGCAGGACGAAGCTTTCATGCCGAAATGGGTTCATTGGGAAAATTGCGATTGCACCCCAGAGTAGAATGACTGCAGAGTCATGCTGACTTTGAGGAAGGAACAGCGTTCTGACAGACTTAAGATCTCCTGTTAGTCATTTTTGTGGAGAAGTCGCCCTGCAAATGGATGTGTCGCAGTGGGAGGCTGTAACTTTTGTCTGTTTTTTCCCGTGGTTCCGTTCACCCTTTTATTACTTCACTTCCTCCCGCTCTCACCCACCCGGCGCCGCTGCCCCCAGACACCCCGTCTCAGCGTGTGCAGTTCATCCTGGGGACCGAGGAGGACGAGGAGCATGTCGCCCATGATCTCTTCACTGAGCTGGATGAGATCTGTGTGAAGGATGGCAAAGACGCGGAGTGGAAGGAGACAGCCAGGTGGGAGCGGGTGCTGGGCAGGGGGTATGGCCACGCATCCTGCCATACCTGCTGAGATACTAGTCTGCCCTTACTTTGTGTATAAATGAAGCACATGTTTGTGGGTAATAGAGCGGCCCAGTGGGTCGCACCGATGCTTCTGGCTACTCCGCCTTCCAGCCAGAGACACGCAGTTCGGGTAATTGGTGTCTGTAAATCACCCATAGTGTATGACTGCATGTGCATGTAAGTGTTCTGCCATTGACTGGTGAATCTTCCAGGTTGTACCCCAGCCTTGTACCCTGTGCTGCCTGGGATAAGCCACCTTACAACCATGGGTATATATAGGGGTGGGGCTGCTGTGGCACTGACTTCAGCTGAAATCTGATTGGCTCCCAGAGTACCCTTTCCCCTGTTACTCACTGAGTTGAAACATATCATTGGCTAGTGATCAGGTTGGCCCCTCTGTATGAATTATTGCTTCTCCAAGATAAGCGTTCAGAAGGTAGATGGATGAACATATCTCTCACTGGCCAGAGCGTAACGGAAGAATGTTTTCACTTAGATTGGCAATGGCTTTGGGGGGGGTTGGCGTTTTTGCTGCAGTGTGTAATTCTTTGCTGAGTGATTGTCAGGACAGAAGCAGAATGTGCCATCTCCCCGATGATTAATAGACTGTATTGCATGTTTTAGTTATTGGTGGGATGATGGCCTCTTACTTGGTTACATGAGCTGTCATTAGTCCATGGTCATTTGCCGAATAGTGATTGGCCCGTTGTCCGCAGTCCCAGCCAGTATCTTGACATGTGATTGGCATGTCGGCTGCCTGTCTAGCTGCTTCTCCAGAGATGATTGGCCCGTCATCAAGTTGCACCCAGAGCAAGTTGATTGCTGTCTGCTGTCCGCACAGGTGGTTGAAGTTTGAGGAGGACGTTGAAGATGGTGGCGAGCGCTGGAGCAAGCCCTACGTAGCAACACTGTCCCTGCACAGCCTGTTCGAGCTGCGCAGCTGCATCATCAATGGCAGTGTGCTGCTGGACATGCATGCGAACTCCATCGAGGAGATCGCAGGTTGGCAAACATGTGCACTGCTGAACTGATGATGATGATAATTATGATGGAGAAGATTATTATTGTAATAAATAATGACAACAATATATGACTATAACTTAAATGATAACACCTTGACTCAGCACAAATACTTAGTCATAACTCAGTTACACTCCATTACATAAACAAGATAAGTCACAATTCATTAATGATAAACAACCATGAAAACAGTATTTAACTTGTGTTATTCATTTCCTGTTCCTTCAGTAGTTCCGTAGTAGTTCTTTCAGTTCACAAGGGTCTACAGAATTAAATATAATAAAAAATATAGTAACGGCTTGACATAAAACACGCATCACAATTCAATAATGATGAATTAACATGAGTTGTTATATGTAACTAAGTATGTTACTTAGTTTGTAGTTAATTAATACACAATTAATAGGATAATACTACATTAATTGTGCCGCATCAAGTAAAATGTTACCACTAAAATAAAATGTAAAGTGTATTATTTTTATTATTTTCATTTTTATTACTATTATTTAGACTGAGGGGGGATTGACTGTGGGGGTTGGGAGGGTAGACATTTTCATTGTAGTTTTGTGGTTGTTATGAATCCACAGAGACATGGAGACATGGGAAATCAGAATGTTTATACCTGTGCTCTGTCGACCTGAAACTATAAGGATTAGCATAATTGTTTGGCACATTAATCCAAAGTGATCGACACACACTGAATGTTTTACCTGCTTGAATCACATACCCTGTGGCTTCTCTGCTTAGAAGGAGGGCATCTTCCTGGGGGCATCTCCCTGGGGGCATCTCCCTTAGGGTATCTTGCTGAGGGTATCTCCATGAGGGTACCTCTTTGAGTATATCTCCCTGAGGGCATCTTCTTAGGGGCATCTTCCAGAGGGTATCTTGCTGAGGGTATCTCGCTGACAGTATCTCCCCAAGGTCATCTCCCTGGGGGCATCTCCCTTAGGGTATCTCGCTGAGGGTACCTCTCTGAGGACATCTCACTGAGGGTATCTCCCTTAGGGTATCTTGCTGAGGGTATCTCTATGAGGGTACCTCTTTGAGTACATCTCCCTGAGGGCATCTTCCTAGGGGCATCTTCCAGAGGGTATCTTGCTGAGGGTATCTCCCCAAGGGCATCTCCCTGGGGACATCTCCCTTAGGGTATCTCCATGAGGGTACCTCTCTGAGGACATCTCCCTGAGGGCATTTCGCTGAGGGTTTCTCGCTGAGGTTGGCTGTAGGTATCTCCTCAAAAGCTAAAAAATGTCCTCACATCACACTGCATGGCCCTCAGTTTACGGTGCTCCTTGAGTCATGACATCACACACCAAGGTGTGCCCCCTGCCTTCCTCCCGCTGAATTGCAGATATGGTGTTGGACCAGCAGGAGGCAGCGCAGGAGCTGGATGAGAGCATGCGGGTAAAGGTGCGGGAGGCACTGCTGAAGAGGCACCACCACCAGAATGAGAAGAAGAGGAACAACCTGATTCCCATGGTGCGCTCCTTTGCTGAGGCTGGCCGCAAGCAGTCAGAGCCGCACTCCATGGACAAGAGTGGTGAGGTTGGCCCGGGGGTTAGGGGTGGAGGGGGGAAGGGCAAGCCAGGGGCAGGGAATCTACAACAGCTGTTAGCTGGGGAGCTAAAGCACATTAATAGCTAGCCAGGAATCATGATTATTCTGTTTAGCAATGTTTCGGGCTGAAGATTTGTTTTGGATCTTTAGTTCACACATAGTGACCCCTAAACCCTAAACCACTGTATGTTAACCCAGTCCTTGGTAACCCCCAGGCAGGCCACATTTTTGTTCCCTGCTAGCTGCCAGCGCACTTGTACCAGGTATTCAGTGTTCTTGATTGGATGGGAACTGGGAGGGAGCAAAAACATGGACTGTCTGGGGGTTCCTGGGCAATGGGTTGAGGACCACCGCACTAAACCTTTCATTCTCCTGCTGTCGTCCGATCTCTCTCCCACCTGCATCCCCTCGTAGGTCCAGCTGTTTCTCCTCAGCCAACTTCTTCCAACCTGGAGGTGAAGAATGGTGTGCACCAGGAGAGCAGTCAGGTGGACCTCAGCAAGGTGTCTGCACAGCGGCACACACCCCCACAGACATGACGGGAACGCCGTGTCACTATAACGGTTGCTTGTGTGTCAGTACAGAACAGTACAGTCTGTGTTCTACTGTGCTCCAGACTGAGCTGATTCCAGTGCATTGTGGGTGCCTGTTATGGCGAGAATTCTGTTATTCCATTAAGAGTTCTGTGTGCTGCATTATTGACAGTATAATGGCTGTGCAGAAAGACACAGAATGGTGACTCACAGCTTTAATGGAGTCTTGCGGAGTTCTGTGAGCGGAGAGCAAGAGTGGCTTCTGTACGATGTGTGCACTTTGTAATCTTCAGTTATGTTCAGCAGTCGTAGACCGTTTATAATAAAAACTGCACATAAAATAAATGTCCAATCATTTGCCCTTCCGAAACCTCATCAAAAACAGGACCAGCTGAACTATGCCTATTCTTTGTATATGGGAATGTCAAATTAAAAGTATTTCCATTTTCAGTAATTATCAATAAATCTATCTCCCCTTTCATAACACATCCATCCATTTTCTAACCGTTTATATTGGCCAGGGTTACAGGAACAACATGTTAAACTCAGCTGTAAACTGAAATCTGTGCACTGACTGCCACCTAGGGAGACATATTGGTATTGCATCTTGTTTTTCCTGTCAGGAGGGAAAAGTTTAATGGAATGGAGGAAGGAATAGAATTTAACTGATTTTATTACTAACTATGGAGTGATATTTAGCAGTGGTATTTAGAAAGTTAGTTTTTCACATTATTTTACTAAAAATGCAGGGAAGAAAACCTGTTACTTTTTTATGTGGGTGTGTGTATCTCAGTAGGTTTGGCTTCTGTATTGGTTGCCAGTTCAAAGCCTGTGGTTGGCTGAATAGTGGCTTTGCTGTTGGGCCATTGTGCCAGGCCCTTTACTCCAAAAAGTGTTTCTGGGGCGCCAGATAAATGGCTGACCTTACGCTCCAACCCCAAGCTTCACTCTTATCTGCGTGTTTGTCGTAAAGGAGAGCAAAATGGGATATGGGAAAATCAAAGAATTACATCACAAATATTTCACCATAAATTTACATGATGATTCTCTACGTTGTACTTCTTTTTTGGGTTATTAAAAATTTAAATGATGTCTCCTGTTTTAAATGGCCTGGTAGAAGCATCTCCATCCCTACCTTCCAGGTGGACATGCACTTTATGAAGAAGATTCCCTTGGGGGCAGAGGCGTCCAACGTGCTGGTTGGGGAGCTGGACTTCCTGGAGAGGCCGGTGGTGGCGTTTGTGCGCCTGTCCCCTGCTGTGCTGCTTACCGGGCTGACTGAGGTGCCCATACCCACTAGGTATCTGCTCCAGCCATCTGTGATGCCGACACCAGCCACATCCTCCAGCGGTGTGAAGGATCATTTGTACCACCAGTCAAAAGCAGCAAAAACAAATGCATTCACAGTATATTCACCGTTTGAGTACCTTTATTAGCAAAAAAATGTCATATCTTTGATTCATCAAACAACCTCCTCTTACAGTTATAACAGCAGAGAAAATTCAAGGCATTCTTTCTACAAAGGACATTAAATACTGTTGTTTCTTTGGATGAAACATTTAACTGGTGCTTTTAAAGTTAAAGGACAGCCTAAAATTTGACTTTGCCATCACCACACAATCTGTTAACAGGATGTCAGACATGCACTGTTACGCACTCTTTCCATGTTATAAAGGATACTTGTTTTATTTGACTTGTATTTTCATTTATAGTTGTTCACTCAACTTTCCAAAGCTTAACAAGAATAAAAAATATGCGGTTTTTGAAAAAAATCGAAAAGTGGTAAAAACCTGTGGTGAGCAAAAACTGTTGACTGATAGTTTTCCACAAGCACCTATAAAAAGGTCAGCAGCGTAAAAGGAGAAAATGATCATTCACTGATATGGGGAAACTAAGTAAATGTCATCGAGGTTTACAGTATATGTAAACTGAAGCCTAGAGTAACACAGCCACTATCCTTGAGCTGGCATTAATGCAGAGCAATGTCTCTGGTTTCTGACCTCCTACTGTCCTGAGTTTTCCTCTTTGCCGCTTACGCCATTCCCCTGTCCTCTCTGACCTCCCCGTGGGCTATTTCCTTTAGGCAGGTGAAATGAAAATTCCAGAATCCCTCAGTAAAGTCAGGGAGCCTGACCTGATTTTTCGAGTCAAACTTGAAATAGTTCACCGGAGTTCCTGAGGCTGTCAGGCCACGTTAAATCATCTCTGGTTCTCATGGGTTACTTGGTAGCCTGCACGCCGCAGGAGTTCACTTATTAAATTGATTCAGCTTTGATATTTCGTAACAGTAAGTCAGCAGAGCTCTAAAACCTCATTGTAGGTCTATAGAAGCCTGAGACCACACATACTGCATAATTAAATGTTGACTGAGTGGGGCTGTCAATCTCAGCTGAAATGTGATAAGTGTCGCAACATTGACAAAGGCGCGTCGGGAGGAGAGTAATATTTGAGGAGGCCTCGTTTTGTGCCGGCCAGATCATCTCCTGGCATTAATTAGGTTTGTGTGTGGTGCTCTAGGTTCCTGTTTATTCTGCTTGGCCCAGACGGAAAGGCCCAGCAGTATCACGAGATTGGACGCTCCATGGCCACCATCATGACTGATGAGGTAACCAGACGCCAAGCGGTTGGCTCTTAGTTTTTTGTTCTCACCTCACACTTCATAAAGGGGCTTCGCCGCCCCCCAGAAATGGTTCTGGAGTACCCTCTCTGGGTCTCGCTCTCCCTCACTCCTTTCCCACGTGGCAGATATTCCACGACGTGGCCTATAAGGCCAAGGACCGCAGTGACCTGCTGGCAGGCATCGACGAGTTCCTGGACCAGGTGACCGTGCTGCCCCCCGGCGAGTGGGACCCCTCCATTCGCATCGAGCCCCCCAAGAGTGTCCCCTCCCAGGTACGGCGGCTGTCGTTACTCTGCTGGCAGATTGGGCCTTGGGGGGGGGGGGGTAGGGAAGCAGGGGTTCTGATGGCACTGTCACCCGGGGCAGGAGAAGAGGAAGACCCCAGCAGTTCCCAACGGGGCGGCCTGTCCGGTGGAGATTGAGCCACACAGCGAGCATCATGGGCCAGAGCTGCAGAGGACTGGCAGGTGAGTTGGGGGAGCCTCCATTCTCTTAGAGGCTGTGGTCGCATTTCCTGCTTGGAAATTACTCAGGCAGGTTATCACAGCCTTTGTCCCGTTACTTGGCGGAGTAGCCATATCTTCTTTGGGCCCTTGATCAAGACCCTTAACTCTCAACTCCAGGGGCGCTGGATGAATGGCTGACCCAGTGCTGTGACCCCCAAGCTCTGCTCTTACCACTATATGCAGAGGCCTAGCTAAAATGTCACAACCCTAAACCCCCCCACCCGATTTTATGTATTCAAGGACTCATGTCGGGTACTGGGCCTCCTAAATATGCCAAGGTATCCGTGCCCCTACTGCATCCCATCTGTATGTGGCATATGTGATGGGATCTGTGAAAATGAGCACATTTCAATGTACTGGTTCTTGTACAACTGGCACATAAAGTTTTTCAGCATTTCTTCATTTAGTTTAATTTTGTTGTGCGAGGTACTGTCTGCCCCTCAGGGGGTGTGACGTGAGTCAGGGTGATGGCTAGTTTGGATGGTTAGTTTGTCACTGTTTGAGTATAAGTTAGTTATTGTCTAGGCTGGCTTATGTAGCCTCACACACTATGGGTTTGAATCCCAGCCCCCCCTCCCTTTTAAAAAAAAAAAATGTCTGTGGATTATAAATTGTAGAGTGACAAAGGTAGAGAAATGTGAATGTACAGAGAATAGAACAGTCAGCGTAATGAGTATTAACATGTGATGAGTATGGACAAGAGTATGGTCATGGAATGAGTATAAATATGAGTATGGACACATTTATCTACTGTTACCTCAGTACTCACTGATATTGGACAAATTCTGAAAATGAATAATCAGAGAATGAATCAGAGAACTCAGACATCAGATACATCTTGAAGTCTGTTTTTGCTTGGCAAAATTATTTTGTTCTCTTTGCAGTTTTGTTGAGTTTTTTAGGGTTTTATGTTTTTTGTGCGTTGTTTTGTGAATATTGCCTTGAATGAAAGCCCTGCTCAACAGTTTAAAGCAGTATTTCCCAATCTAGTCCTTGGGGCCTCGCAGACAGTCCACATTTTTGCTCCCTCCCAGCTCCCTACTGGAGAGAGCAAACGTAAACGTGGAGAGAGCAAAAACATGGACTGACTGTAGATGCCCAAGGACTGGATTGGGAAACACTGGTTTACAGCACTAGAGGCCATGGCTTGACCCCCATGGGTTATTGCATAGAGACAGGCTGGGGCTTTAAGGCAAAGCTTAAGCAGCTGTAAGCGCCCCCGGTGAGCCCCGCACTGTGCTATGTGCCGCGGCCAGGCTCTTCGGGGGACTCATCCTGGACGTGAAGCGGAAGGCCCCTTTCTACCTGGGTGACTTCCGGGATGGCCTGAGCCTGCAGTGTGTGGCCTCCTTCCTCTTCCTCTACTGCGCATGCATGTCCCCCGTCATCACCTTTGGCGGCCTACTGGGGGAGGCCACGGGCGGCCGCATCGTAAGCATGCGCCAGAGGGCAGCCGGGGCACGCGGGCACACGTGGGGGCAGTCACCCTTACAGGCACGGACAAGGGCACAGGAACATACACAGGAGGGCCTGCTTACATCTTGTCAGGCACCATCAGCAAGGGCCGATTCTAGGGTTCTAAAGGGGCCATAATTCATACAGAGGGCCCAACTTTATCCTTAGCCAATGGTATGTTTTGAATTGGTGAGTGACAAGGGATGGGGCCAGTCAACTTTCAGCTGGGGTGAGACTCCTTGTGGCCCCGCCCCCCAAACGCACCCTTGCCATCACCAGCTACATGCTTTTGCTTAGTGCATGTTAAAGACACACCCACTGGTTAACATTGACTAATCACAGATTCTTGACCTATCTATTGAGTGTTAGAGCAGCCAATGCATGACTAAACCAGCGGCCCATGTGGATGTTTGTAGCCCGTGATGGCTCAGCATGCCAGCAGTGTGTTTTACATGCATCTATCCCTGAGACAGAGCGCCATCGAGTCCCTTCTGGGAGCTTCCATGACCGGTGTCGCCTACTCCCTCTTTGCGGGCCAGCCCCTCACGATCCTGGGCAGCACAGGACCGGTCCTGGTCTTTGAGAAGATCCTCTTCAAATTCTGCAAGTAAGCATCCTCATTCAAGTCTTCACTGAAACATCTATGAGGTCAGGCAGTGGATTGCCTGTGTAGCTTTGGTGGTTGGTGGTGTGTGGCATAGTTCACTGGGACTCTGAGTTTGCGATTGGAGCATTGCTGTTTCAGATTCCATAGACAATAGAGCAGTTTGGATGGTTAGTTTGTCACAGTCAGGTGTGAAGCCTCTGACCAATCAGAATCAGTAATTATTAAACTAGCTACCTGGGAGAACTGAAAACAAGGCCTGGATTTGGAATCGAGGTCCAGATTTGAAGAGCCCTGCAATAGAGTGATTTCACCTTTGGGCTCTTGAACAAGACCTTTAACTCCCAGTTGCTCCAGGGACTGTCGAACCTTGTTTTCTCAGAACACGTGTTGCTTTGGTTTAAAAATGTCTGCTAAATAAAAAATGAATTTAAACAGTTCTTCACTTCTCTGATGCTTACATTCTACTTGCTCGGTCCACCACCCCCTTCCCGCAGAGACTACGACCTGTCTTACTTATCCCTGCGCACCTGCATTGGGCTCTGGACCGCCTTCCTGTGCCTGCTCCTGGTGGCGACGGACGCAAGCTCCCTGGTCTGTTACATCACCCGCTTCACGGAGGAGGCCTTCGCCTCCCTCATCTGCCTAATCTTCATCTACGAGGCTCTGGAGAAGCTGGTGCACTTGGGCGAGTTGTACCCTATCAATACCCACAGCGACCTGGAGCGCCTCACGCTTTACTAGTGAGAAGCATACCTTAAACCCCCTCCACATCTTCGTTCATTTTCTTGGACTTGAGCTGATTAGCTCCCTATAGTTGCATTAGTGGATATGGAGTGCTGTGCTTCTAATCAGAAAGTCATAGGTTTGAATTCCACAACCAGCAGTATGATTTCGCCATTGAGCAGCCCTTAACCCCAGTTGCTCCTGGGACGGTCTGACCTTGCTTCCTCAAATGTATGTTGCTTTAGATAAAAGCATCTGCTAAGTAAATGTACTTGGGTGGAAACAGAAAAACAATTACTTTCATGCTAGGGGCAGAAAACTGAAAGCTTGGACTCATCTACTCTTTCTTACTCCTTCTTTCTATCTCACTTAGTTGCAGGTGTGCTGAGCCTGACAATCCCAGTAATCGGACCCTGGAGTTTTGGAACAAGAGGAACATTACCGTCTCTGCGGTGCCCTGGGCCAACCTCACCGTCAAGGTTGGACATTCGCACCTCTGACTCCTGGAGCGAGGAGAGAAACATTCAAACAGACGAGCTTACGGAATTGGTTTCTGCCAAATTCTCCACATCATTTCCCATTAGGCCATCAGTGAAATTCAATTTCATGACAGTAATGTAAAGCTCGGGGCCATCATTTTAAGTTACCGGCAGCCGTTCGATTCCAGCCAGATCGGATTTATTTGGTGCGTGTATGAGTGAGGATTTGTGCAGGCCGTTGCTATAAGCGTGACAGTAACCCCAATATTCACAAGGTCATTATGCTTTCTGTGGTAGGAGTGCCTGGACTTCCAGGGGCAGTTTTTGGGGACGGCGTGTGGACACCATGGACCCTACACCCCCGATGTCCTCTTCTGGTCCGTCATTCTCTTCTTCTCCACCTGTGCCTTGTCCAGCTTCCTCAAGCAGTTCAAGACCAGTCGCTACTTCCCCACAAAGGTACCCGGGCAGTTCTACTGTAGGGATCACGACCCCACAGGGGTAACAGTTAACTGTGATTGCAGCAGCCTGCTCTGAGCTAGCAGGACAAAGTGTCCTGATCGCTCTGTCATGATCCCTGCCACATGCACACTCTACAATACAGCAGGTTAGCGATCCATGTCTGGAAGGTCATGGGTTTGAATGTTGTTTCTGGTAGAGTATTCACTTTTGGGCCCTTGAGGAAGGACCTTAACCCCAACTGCTCCAGGCGTGCCTGCTGACCCTTGGTGAAAAACAAAGAATTCCAGTATTCCGTATACAAAGCCATTATACAAAGCCATAAGTATAGCATCTTAACATAAAACCTATGGTTTGGCCCAGGCCAGAGCTCAGGACCCATATGGGGACATGTGTTCTAATCATGGAACATGGAATGGAAGGAGGAGCCATGGGGGGCGGTTTGCGATAAATTATTTGTAATATTTTTGTGAATGTTCAACAAAGTATTAATGATGCTGCAGAAGTCAATGGTTCTAATGAACATAGGAAGACTTACTCCTTTCGTGGACTTGAGCATGTCCTGATTAATGGATTAGACTTAAATAAGCTGTTACACATCATCTATATGTTCATTCCATAAGCCTGAAAATGATTAATTTAACAATATACACACCCCTTTCTGTGATGATATTGTTCATAATTTGGAACATTAAATATTAATCAATTACTTTACAATATTGTGAGCAAAAGGTCACTAGTTTAAATCCCGTTGTCAACAGATTTCCCTGTTAGACTCCTGGGCAAGTTCCTTAATCCCAGTTACTTCAGGGAATGTCTGACCCTGCCTCCTCAATTGCAAATTGCTTTTTATAAAAACATCTGCTAAATAATTATAAATACATTTTGAGTTGAAATATTAAGAAACAAAAATGTGCTTTATTTTTCATGCTGACCTGATGTTCTTACAACGGTTATCTGCTTTAGGTGCGTTCCATGATCAGCGACTTTGCGGTCTTCCTCACCATTGTCATCATGGTCCTCCTCGACTATGTTGTAGGGATCCCATCCCAGAAACTGCAGGTGCCCAGCAAATTCAAGGTGGGAGCAGTGTGTGTGGAACTCTGTGTGTGCGTGTGTGTGAGTTATGGATTCTTTATACCACAGCACCGCTGAATTCTTGATTCTAATTGGTCAGCAGGGTGTCGATTAATTTTCCATATCCACATACATAGTGCCAACCTGGCGAATCACAGTTGTGAATCAATGTGCCATTATAAAACAACGGGCAATTCTGAATTAACCATTGGCTCATAGTCTTATTAATGGACAGTTTTTTAATTAATGATGGTGGCTTGGGGCATATCTAAGCAAAATATTTAGTCATTGGTGGTAGTTCCACTAATATATGCTCCTTTGGTTTGTGAAAATAATGTCTTTAGGTATAAACGTGTGGTATAAGTGGGTTAATGCTCTCCAAGCCATGTATTTTTTTATAGGTATTTAAATGTGTTGAATGATTCTTTGCCTCCATAGTTGTGTGTTTAAAAATGCATAATGCATGGATTCTACTGCATTAACTCATAAATAAGTGGGCCACACCCTCTCATCCGCACGCAGCCGACCCGTGACGACAGAGGCTGGATCATCAACCCCATCGGACGGAACCCCTGGTGGACGGTCCTGGCTGCCTCCATCCCGGCGCTGCTGTGCACCATCCTGATCTTCATGGACCAGCAGATCACTGCTGTCATCATCAACCGCAAGGAGCACAAGCTGCTGGTGAGGGGTACTGGAGCACAGGGGTAGCCATGACACCGTTGGGCGCATGCGTTGCCATGGCGTCCTGGTGTGCAGAGGCGGGCCAGTACCCATGACATTAAAATAATGGCCTCATAAAGAGCTGGAAAATGTGGGGCAAAACTGCTTGGAAAATGCTGAGAAAATCTTGGTATTCAAAAAAGCTTCCTAGCACATTCTATTAACTATAGAAGTGAATGAGAGATCTTAATGTTATTCATCATCACAGGCGTTTTTAAGTGTTGCCTAATTCCATTCGGGCTAAAAGGCGAGGCATTTGTTTAACGGAGCGTGGCTGACAGCGTGGTTGAATCCCCTCCCCCCTCTCCCCGTGCAGAAGGGCTGTGGGTACCATCTGGACCTGCTGATGGTGGGCGTGATGCTGGCTGTGTGCTCCATCATGGGGCTGCCCTGGTTCGTGGCGGCCACCGTGCTCTCCATCTCGCATGTCAACAGCCTGAAGCTGGAGTCAGGCAGCTCGGCCCCGGGGGAGCAGCCCCGCTTCCTGGGCATCCGCGAGCAGAGAGTCACCGGCCTCTTCATCTTCCTGCTCATGGGCTGCTCCGTCTTCATGACTGGGGCCCTGCAGGTCGGTCGCCCCCCCTGCAGGGGTCCTTTGATGCACGAGTTTACCCAGGGGCCTCTGCTACAACGGGGCCCTGACTAAGGGAGCTTTTCCACCGCACCAAGTACTGTACTTTTCATACGGTATTTTTGGTACTTTCGCTTTTCCATTGACTTCCGGTCGAGTGCCAGTACCAGAAATTCCAGTACCAAAAGTGTCAAACCAACTGGGCTACTTTTGTGGTACTTTGGGGTGGGATTTGAAACACTTTCTTTGTCAGCTGGTTATGCAAATAGCCTGCCTCTGAAACACAATACAAACACCACCTTGAAAATAGTTGCGAACTCAGAAAACAACGATAAATGAAGCTATATATATATATAGAAGAACATATACAACAAAATGATCAGGATGGCATGACAAGAAATTAAAAAGGTATTTTGTTTAATATATTAGAACAGGACGCATGTAGTGTACATAGCATACAGCGAGCTGTCCTGGCGATTTTGTAATAAATATAGCGATGTGATTTTTTTGTAATAAATATTGGGGTGTTTATGAAACAAAAAAGGGGTACAAAATATCTCACAAACCCGTCTTTGAGTGATTCAAACAGCAAGGATGAAAATGTTTATGATTGTTTCGGAGAACGCATGCAGTACTCACGCAAAAGCAGCATTAAACTGAGTTTTAAACATAATATATAAAAGGAATAGTAATTAAAATGGCAAAGCTTGCTCAGTTTTTTTTTCGTGTGACAGAGTAACAGTAAAAATAGCAAAACTTTAACCCCCTGCACTTTAATGTCCGTACAAAATTGAAAGTTAGAAAAAGCCTTATCTTAATATAGCTCACTAGCGATGTAAGAATTGTATATGCATAACCTATGATGTGGGTATTAATATTGCACATTGTCCAGCCCTATGAGATACTACAGTATTTTTTCTAATTCACTACAGTATACCCCACCTCGAGTTGTGATGTCGTTTGGTGCTGGTACCAGTTTTTACACCAGTGGAAAACCAACATCTTGAAGTACCGTACTTTTGGTACTTTCTCAAAGTACCAAAGGTACGGTCCCTGGTGCAGTGGAAAAGCACCTGAACTAACCCCCCCCAAAGTTGACACCAGATTGTAGGGGGACCTCTGACAACTGAAACAGGGCCTCTGACCATGGTAATGTGCCTCTGCCCCCTGCCCCCCTCTCCCCAGCATTGCTGAATATTGAATATCCATCGAATAACTACATTCATGCCTGTTGACAAACCATCTGCACTGGTGACTTTATGCATCAGTTGCACATAACAAATGAAACAGCTGCATTACACTGTACCTAATGCACGTTTCTATAACTACTATTCTTACACTTTAAGCTGATTACAGTCAATCCCACTGCACAGCTCCGCATTATTTCGTTTCATTGCATGCCTGAATATTTTGAAATGACAGTAAAGTTTGACTTGCTTTGATGTGTTGTGGGAACACTTGCATGGGAAATGAAAAAAACAGGAATTTGGCAGGAACCTAAATCCTAACCAAGATCTCTAAAGGGTCAAAGGTTGTGCAGTGGGAGCATAGTTATGGTTTAGACCAGTGGTTCTCAACTTTTTTTGCACCATGACCGAATTGTTACCTTGCCAGCTAAGTCGCAACCCTATATGAAGTATACGTTTAAATTAACGCTATGATCAAGTGCACAGTGTACTCTGCAATTTTTGCCAGTCAATGCCTATCACACAAATCTGATTGGATGTGAATTTTAAATTAACCTTCTGTGGTTTGGCTTCTTGGATTGGTTGAATGTTCACTAGTTTTGCATTAAGCATTTGCAGACTCAAGACCTGTTTATATGGGTTAATTCTGTTGGGGCTGGGAAATCTGATTGTGGATCAGCATAGGAGCTTGCTGGTTTTAAAATGCTTACATTTCCAACTCTGCCTCGCAACCCTTTCAGAACTTGCCGCGACCCAAATTTGGGTTGCGACACCTGGGCTGAGAATATTTCATATCGTCATTCCTTCCTCACTTTATACTGCAGTATACGGTACTTTGTCTGTATTTTCAAAAGCATAGCTATTTTGGTTTCACCGCTTGGTGAATTTTATTGCCACAATTACAAAATATACTGCTGTAAAGTACCGCGGTATACCCAAAAATACCATGGTATACTGTGTTACCTTAATACAGCCCAACCCTGGCGTGTTTGCACCACATCCTCCTCCATCTACAGCTACGCCTGGGATACCTTCCAGGCCATCAGGCAGTAACCATGTTTTCCCCATGTCTGCTTCACAGTTCATCCCCATGCCGGTGCTGTACGGAGTCTTCCTCTACATGGGTGCCTCCTCTCTTAAGGGAATCCAGGTAAATCCCGAAACCGCAGACACTACATCTCACCTTCTCTATACTTGTGTCCATTCGCCTTAACATTGGTATCTATGATATCCCCTCATGAGCACTGAAATTGTTACTGTGTAACAATTGCACAGTTGTATGGATTATATTAAGAGTATATTATTGTCCAACACTTTCACTGGCTTATGAATAAGAGATTATTATTGCACAAGTATGAAGTTTATTAAATTTCATGCCAAATAATTTGCTTCTTCGACACACAATCATGTTGCCTGAAAAGACCAAATGAGACATTATTTTAAGGCATTAGGCGCATTGGCTTGCACACGAGCAAAGGAGCTGCCATATTTGGTGATTTTAACAAAGGTGTATTTTCAGTTATTTTCAATGCAGAGGCCCTAAAAGATTGATGTCTGAGGAAATGACCTTATCTCCCCCCATTTACCCAAACCCTAACCCCACCCCCCAAAGTTCTTTGACCGCTTGAAGCTGTTCGGCATGCCAGCGAAGCACCAGCCTGACTTCATCTACTTACGTCACGTGCCGCTGCGCAAAGTGCACCTCTTCACCGTGACACAGCTCACCTGCCTGGTGCTGCTCTGGGTCATCAAAACCTCGCGCGCTGCTATCGTCTTCCCCATGATGGTAAGGGAGTGGGTGGGCAGGGCGTGGGGCCAGAGGAGAGGGAGGGGCCTGCGGGTGGACGAATACAGCCAATCAGACTGCCACACCTCTATGCATATGGTGAGCATTTGAAACAGAACATCAGCGCACACAGAAATATCCGGAAGCGGACATATCGGGCTTAAACAAAGACCTGCACATTTATTAACAATATATTCCAATCAAATCAAAGTTTATTTAACAAATGCACGACAATATGGTACTACATTGACTATCCTGGTGGGAGGGACTCAGCTGAACGTGAAGCACTAATGTGATTTGTTTTTAGCTACGAGCTAGTAAGAAATCATTACATTTATGATCTTATACTTATTTTACTCATTTATTAAATTTTATTTAGTTTACTTTGTCACAAAGTTTTTAATTCTACAGCTACTTTGCTACAGCAATTCTGTAGCAAAGTAAAAAGTAAGGTTGAGGATAACAAAAGATTTTTTTTTTTTTCTGAAAAAGTAGTAAAACAGAATAAAGTAAGAAAAAGAAAAATAAGTTGAAATGTGAAAATTGCCGGTACTGGTGGCCTGATCAACTATTAGTGGGACAATTTGCACATTGCAGATTTATAATTATTTAATTTATTTATTATGATTATATACAGTGAGTACTGGGGAGTAACATCTCACTTATGGCTATATAATATATTATTAACAGTATCTAGTATATTTAATACTACATAATATATTATGGCTACTGGCATAATATATAGCTAGAATATATATTGGTTACTAATAAAAAAATCTATTAACAAATAGGTGATCTCATTGGAATATTTTGTTATTTATGATATTTATGTAAATTTTAATAGGACTAATTTAGAAAGTTACCAGGGTAACAAATATGAAGAATCAAGATGAAATATGTGCTGAGATTAAGCACTACAGAAGACTGAAAATGTGTGTGTTTCTTCCTGAAGGGTGTGGAGCACAGTCCTATGTACGGTTTTCCCCGATGCAAGGCTGACACAGTGAAGAAGAACGAAGGGTGATTGATGGGGGTGTTGGCGCGGTGGCTACGTTTTAGCTGACCGAAGCTTCCCGCTCTGCCTTCCCAGGTACTCGCCCTGGTGTTCATCCGCAAACTGCTAGACTTCTGCTTCTCCAAGAGGGAACTGAGCTACCTGGATGACATCATGCCTGAGAGCAAGAAGAAGAAACTGGATGATGCCTCTAAGAAGGTCGAGGAGGTACTGCAAGGATCCTTTCATGGGCCCGTTCTGTTTTTAAACCAGTGTCAATAGTGTGAATATAAAAGTATCTGTTTTCTTATATGAATGTGAGGTATTTGATTACTGAATTATGTTGTCATGGCAACTAATTATTAATTCCTCAAAACTTCTGCAATCACAGTGGTATTGTTTAAAGATTATGAGCAATATTGTACTATATCTGCTTCAGGCAGCTAGCCTTCCTATAATGATTATGATCAGTAATTTAACGTAATTATCATGAAAATAATCAGAAATATTTCATCAGAGTGAGTCAATTTTTCATAAATACACTGCTCTTTTATTCCCATTTGGACTTTTGATTTATTTTTGTTCCTTTCGTTTCTTAGTACATAGTACTTGGCTGTATAATTGCAAAGTGATGGGTGACTGATTAGCGGATAATGACCTAGACAGGGAGGAGGCTGATGGCTGGTGTCTCTGTGCCTCAGGAGTCAGAGCAGATGCTGGGACTCGGAGGGGGCAGGGGCATGGTGCAGATACAGATGGAGAGCAGCAAGGCTGCACAGACCCCCAAGAACACGGATGCCAGGTGAGGAGAGTCGTGACCCGCCTGTTTGTGTACGTTCACATTCTCATTTGATTTGCGACTCCCATTTTACTGTAATTAACCCTCAACCCTGAACTTATAAAGATGAAAGCAGATAACAGTCATGCTTTTCACTTTGTTTTAACCAGATGCAGTTGTAAAAATGTTTTGTCTTGTGTGTCCTTGCAATGTCTTTGTTCTTACATTTCTTCATACAAGTTAGCAACATTTGTCCTCATAAGACAGATATGTGAGAAAGTCCACACACACACGCAGGTCTGTAATTATATCTTTGTGGGGACTCTCCATTGATTTCTATGGGGAAAACTCTAGTCCCAAAATGACGACCGTAACCCTTACCCAGCCCTAACCTTAGCCATAAGTAACTCAACAAAATACAAGACACATTTTTAGGTTTTTGGTTGCATTCACAGATCTTTATAGGGACCTGAAAAATGGTCAGTGCTAATTTTAAGAGCTTTTTTTTATCCCTGATTGTAGTAATGTCATATGATGCAGAGACATGTATCTTTTAATAGTAACTACGATATTTTAGAGTGCATACACACATACATACATATATATCTCCAGGTGATACGGTGCTGTGACCTGTTATATATCTGTAGAAGGGACAGTTATAATGAGACAGTATGTTTCCTGTCCACTCTGTGTAGAGGAAAGCCCCGTGAAAGCCATAGTCATGGTGACCCTCAGTTGCATCACTGGGTTGAGCACCTCTTACCCACCTGGCCTGACTCCCCCCACTCCCCCCCACCCCTCCCCCATATAACCCCTTGCCCAGCTGTTAAAATGTCATGTTCTGTTTTAGGTGTGACCCATCTGACATTAATATCTCTGATGAAATGTCTAAAACTACAGTGTGGAAAGCACTCAGCTCAAATCACAAGGAGAGCCAACCAATTCCTACTAAAAAGGCAAGGGTATCGATGCTACACTCCACTTCCCCCCTCCATAGAGCCAGCACGAGCGATTGCCAGGTTTCCGTTCTTCCGATTCACACTCCTGTCTCCGTCTTTCCTCCTCATCTCTTCCTTCTCTCTTTTCCTTTTATTTTCCATTGCTGCTGTGCTTCTTCTGGAATGTCCTTTATGCTGACTTTCAGTTTGAACAGACGTGACTGCCGTTCGTCATGGAGGATTTGAGGCGCCAGATGGGAAAATGAACAAATACAGCTGTGATAATTAAAGAAACACTTTTCAGTCACCCAGTCCTTTGGCAGGGAATATACGCCAGTCCCACAGCTTTCCGGCATCGCAAATCCGGCAGATCCCATGGGTCAGAGTTTAAGTTGTCCTGACCTGTTGTAATGCTTCCCTCACTCTGACGTCCCTGTCATGAAGAGTTGTCGGCAAGATGGGAGGTCAAGCCTCTTGTGCCGTGTCATTCAGAGCTATTGCTTCAACTGTCTTTCCAGGAGTATATAGCATCGAAAGCCTGCTGACATATTTCCAGCAAATCCTGTCTTAGCGGAATTTTAAAAATCTAAGAGTCGTGATACAAAAATACCCGGCATAAGAATTCAAATGCTGCAGATACTCCTGGAATGATTGATGACTCAGTGCTTGAATTAAAAAAAAATCATTTCCTTCTCCGCCTAAGCCGTAGATACATTTTAAAGTAAGAAAAGTAACTTGCCTGTTTCTTTGTATCATTATGGAACTTTGGTCCAACCACCAGTATTTTTTTTGTTTTATAACCATGAGAATTGCAAAGTAATTCTTAATTGTTTATTAAACAATCCTTGATGGGGAAAGAACAATCTTGCAAATTCCAGTGTGTGTTGGAACAGGGTGGTGTATTGGCAAACAGCAGGCACAGTAGTCTTCCATATCTGGGTAAATTATGGTACATTAATTATGTGTGTATATGTGTGTGTCTGTTTGTCTGTATCTGTGTGCGTTTGTCTCTCTGTCTGTTTGTGTGCTTGTGCGTGTGGCATCTCCTGTCCCTGCAGGAATGACAGTGACTAACAGAGGAGAGAGGAAACCCCATCAGGTGCAGGGATTTGTGGAATCACCATGGGGCTAAGGCCATTGCGAGCTAGGGTTTACCACGGCAGTGATGACCTCTGGGCCGGACTGACAGCTCTCACCTGCTCACAAACATCCAATCAAGCTCTGTCTGTGTTTTACAGCCTACACCTTTCTCCCACAACCCCAATACGACTCTCCATCCTTCTAATACCTGTCTCTTAACTTCCTGTTCACTACGTTATGGATTTTACTCAGCCGCCCTCCGCACAGATCCTTCACAGTCTGTCCGCTCGAAACACTGACACGTTTTCCCATCCCTCATCCATCCCCCCCGTCTGACAGAAGAGGCTTCCAGCGAGACTTCCTGCCGTATCTTTGCCCAGTTCGTTCCTCGCCAAACGGCAGGCGTGCCGTTCCAGTCACTGACAGCAGCACAGCTTTGTACTGTAGCAGTGTGGGAAGTGGTGGTCCAACCTTTTTGTATTGTTGTATATTTATTGGTTATTTTTAAATGTTCTATCTCCTGTTTTTTTTATTGTACTATTGGTGCTTTTGTTATTATGGTGATGGTGATGTTCATTTAGAATAGCTTCATTCCAGACCAATAAGTGAACAGCTGAACGATCATATAGATCTGTTTCTCCATTACCTATCTGACTTAAATCGGTGTGTTTCGTGCAGTGTAAATACATAGTATATCCTTGACTGTATTGAGTTAAATATATGATCAAAGGAAAAAAATCTATAAAGATGTATTTAAGGTTAGAATGTTTTTGAAAGAGGGAAATGGTGGAACTATGAGAGAAATCATGTGACTACCCAGAAGTCAAAGAACACCATTTCTGTCCTCAAGCTGCATTGCATGGCATTCAGGATGCATGTGGCAGGCTCCAAAACCATCAGGCTAGAGAGAAGCAATAATAATAAAGCCCAAAATCAAAGTCCAGACACATTAGCAAATGTGTCGTTCTACATCTGTGAGCCTAATACAGCAATATACTTAAATTAGAGTGTGACATTCCACTGATATTCCACCAATGCCTGTATTCTATAAGTGTTTCTTGGAAATTAAAGTTATCTGCAATGTGCAGCAAATTTGGACAGGTTTCAGTCCCAGACCGCCCCAGGTGTTCCACCCTCCAGGGGAACAGTGATGAATTCTGTCCTATTGGTTTGCATCATGACCTTTAATGTGTGTCACTTTATTCCAAGACAGATCTAGACAAAAAAAAAGAAAAAGTGCTGGTACATTTTTCGTCTAAGAATTTTAATTTATAGTAGCACTTTATGTAGATAGAGACAAAGAATATTTTTATTTTATGAAAGTTAATTTTTTAATTATTTATTATAATAATTTATTTTGCGATAAGAATATTTCAGGAATTGGTTTCCGCTGTAAATACAACATAAAATGTAACGTGATGGCAACAATAAAAGAACCCACCAACAGAGTTATATGAAATATGTACATTTTAAGATGTAAATACTTTGAGGTCCTGAGATGCCGTGTAAGAGGGGAATGCATTTTCTACGATGCGTCTTAAAAGCCATAACTGTGAGCAGTTTCGCTGAGTTTGATTGCCCATTCAAGCAATGACAGGGAGGGGCATCCGCGATTTAGCGAGAATTTATAAATGTTACAGGCTAACATCTTAATAGATCGTTTATGTATTTATCTATTTGTTTATTTATGGGTGTGTAGGACTGTACGTTTTGAGATTTGAACAGGTTTCGGTCGATTTCTCGATTGCCCCAAATATTCCAGCTGTCGTAGGGGGAGTATTTGGTCTTGTCCATGTCAGCCAACCTACTCTTGCCCTGCACAGACCTGCTAGGTTATTCATGGACACATGCTGTGATCCGGGAGTCCAAATTTAAGTGAAATTCGGAGGGAAACCCTTACCACCACTGGGAATGTGTTGTGATTTTTCAGATGAAATGATACACTAAAGCTATACTCTAAATGACTGTTGTGTGCTGTTTTTTTTGTTATTTATTCCTTAAAACGTATATCTTTGTGCGGTTTGCTGTCCTTGCAGTGCTATAGTCTCGCTTTGTCCTGTGTGGTGCTGTCAGTGTTGTTATAGAACCTCCGCCACTCAAACGGACGTCAGAAGGTGTCCCATTTACCTCCTCTTGTCTTTGCCTTTTTCGGTTTAACCCATTCCCAAGCCTGCTGTAATGATGCTAAGACTAAATTATTTCGTGGAGTTTCCAATTGTACATAAGGTTATTCACTGAGGTTGTATTTAATAATTGTCTAATCAGACACGTACTGTTCTTTCATAAAATGGAAGTATCTGTTGTAGGTCAGATCCATCTGAAAAAAACCAAGGAACCCAAAAAAATACCTCTTACTGCAACCCCGTGGTACCTACTGTTAGCTCCGTGTGCTAAAGGCTTACAGAGTAGTATTTATCTTTTCTGCAAACCTTGAACAACGGACATATTTATTAGACAAAAAAGAAAGTCTAATCACGCTGAGTGAGTGTTCACTATAACTGAAACTATCGGCCAACTATCTGAACATGTCGCCATTTTGTTCACAATTAAAGAGACAAGACTGCATTAATTATGGAAGCATCGTGACAGGCGTAGATAAACATACTGGGTAAAAGATTGTTTGACCAAAGACTGATCTGACGATTCAACTGCCCTAATTTACCTTGTTTCCGGTGGTGTGCCAGACATTTGTGTCGTCTGAGTAATTTAGCCGAGTCCGCTGTCATAATAAATACTGTTTGGATGAGACTGGGCGAATGGATGACGTATCTCTTTAACTAATAAACAAATATATGTTTTATATGTAGGCATACTGTAATTTTGGATTATAGGGATATTGAAAATAATAAATAAAAATATACAAATAAGCAAAGCCTGTTTTTATTCATTGCGTGTCGATGTTGCCTGCTTAAAAAATGCCAATTATAATGTAATAATAGCTGTAGGCATGAACTGCATTAAGTTAAATTATATATCTAAATAGTAATGTTTAATATGGGGGAGAAAATATTAAATATCTAATACATGATAATTCTAATAGATGTATTTGAATATCCATGGGAGGCGCGGGCGGGCTTAAGCAATTGCCCCTTTTGCAGAACGATTTAAAGTAATTTCCTTCTGCAGACCTGCATGAGTGCTCCTTTTCGATCACCGACGATCACGCAAATTTTGCCAAGGTTGACTGTTCCAGTCAGCAAATATTTACCCACTCCCCACGGACGAGCATCTTCCCACCTGCACGGCCCTGTTTATCCAGAATTATAATGCTTACAATTTTCACTTCTTTAATTAGCTCCGGTTGTGTGCTGGGACAAACCTTTCTCCTAAAAGGTGGTGAAGTACGTCAGTGTCATGTAGGCCTAGGTAATTAATAGCTACGTCACTGTAAAGAACTAAAGCTTGGCAAGTACCGGATATGGTATGTAAACATCGAAAACTACGTCTAAATCCTGAAATTTGGCTTTTCATCATTTATTATTTAAGGACGGATAGCCAGGATACACACAAGAAACACAAAGTATCTATTCTTCTTCTTATTATTATTATTATTATTATTATTATTATTATTATTATTATTATTATTGTTATTGTTATTGTTATTAAATGGACCCCTACTTATTTTTTTTACCTCAAAAACATTTTTTTTTCATACAAACAAAAACTTTTGTATGCAAGTAAACATATGAAGGTAAATGAAAAAACAGGTACGTTATGTATAGAGTTGTAAAATTGTACTACTTCTAAATATTGTGAAGGACATATATAATTTACTTTAAATAATTGAACAATTTTTAAACACTGTCACTGAGATGTTTTGTTCCAGTGTCAAATCAGCTTACATAGCCTACGCAATTTATACATGACCTGTTAAGAAAAGGGAATTACTCTAAAGGATTCAACATCAAATTAAGACAATAAAAATATTCACTTTTATCACACAGTCGAACTAAAATAGTTTGGGTATAGGACAAAATAGCTTACAATTTTTTGCTTGTATTTAAAAATACTAATTTCATAATATTTTAATAGCTAACCTCAACCGTTATTATATGTCTACTATACTTTGAAAAATATATGCATTCTGTGGGGGTCGCACAATGGCATTACTGGGATGTTTGCCTTCTGTTTTATGTTATTTCCATGTTCTCCCCATGTTCCTCGTTTCCTTCATGCAGTTAGGTTAATTGGTGCCTCAAGATAAGCCATAGAAAGTACATGTACAATGGGCTGGCGTCCTATGCATATAGTGTACCCCAGCCTCGTATCCTGTGCTGTCTGGGATACGCTCCATGGCTCATCATGACAACTAATGAAATAAGTGAATGAATAGACCATTATGTGTGTGTATAGGGTGAAACACAAATCATCTTTGGAATGGATAAATAAAAATATTAATGTTCAATGTGAGACATCGTATCAATATCCAGTTCAGTAATAGCGATTAACTATATATAGACTGAAATTACATTAAAATGAATAGCATGCTCTTACCATATATCCTGTGCATAAAAGATTTATCTTAATACAATCAGCAGGCATGGGCGAGGTCTTACGCATGACGCACGGGCGGAGCCTAATGCGTGCGCGACGACGTCAGTGTCAAAGGGGTTGTTTTGGAGGAAGTGAGAGAACAAGAAAAAGAAAGAACAGTTCTAGTACTGTGATAGAAATATAGCAAGGCTGGGGAGAAAACGCTTCATGTTTTATGTTTACATATTAAACGTTCCGCAGCGCAGGACGAATACGAGACTGACGAAAAGAGAAGAAAGTGAAGAGGAACATATTTTATCCGCTGATTACCGGCCCATCACAAAAAAAATCTCCCTACATTAACGGCAAAATAAAGAAGGGGAATTGTGGCTGTAAATTAAAACAGAGAAAATTTTACGGTGAAAAATATAGTACATTCCAGAACCGCTGGAATAATAAGGTAAGTGAGTTTCTGAAAGACTTGGACGAATATAGATGCGATAGACGCCCTGCTCATTTGCACCCTAAATATCAGGATCGATATTTAAATGCACCACGCAATTTATTCGGGTGAAAACTATATACACATGTAGATAAAATCACCACAGGGCACGATTTCATTATGAACACGGCTGTTTATGGTACCCTTAGTGTAGACCTGCTATGGCCGGTTGTTGCATGGCAGGGCCGCGCCACTCAGACGCTGTTTGTACAGAAAGTCTTGCAAAGATCGAACGCTCGGCTTTGATCAATTTGTATGCTGGGCTTTGCATCCCGTTTCCCTGTCAGATCACAAGTTAAATGACTAAATGGCAAGTCTGCCCTTCCACAGCAACGACTAGCGCAACAAAGACGAGCGCAGGTTATTTTACACCACGTTTTTCTTAAAATAGATGGTTTTGTCTCGCCTGGCTGACTGTCAACGGTGTAAACGAACAAAGCCTAGTCAAGATGACCATTATTATATCTTCGCTTTAGTAAGATACGGGGTAATGTCATTTTAAGTTAAATCAGATAGCCGCTTTTTATATGATCCCGTCGCGATCAGTAGCTGGTTAACTGGACAGCAGAAGGCCGGCTTACAATAGACCATTTTTACCATCACACAGGCCTGCAGGTCTGAATTATAAAAGGTTTTTTTAAGGGCCAGAACGTTTTCTTGTCACTTTTCGGGATGATTTTGGACTGGGGTAGATGGTGATGTGGGGGGCCTTGTGGTTTTGGAAATGCTGAAGCAGGCGGAGTTTGCGTAGGAGCCAAGCTGGCCCGTGTGATCCGCATGTCATGGGTTACAGATTAAATACGGAATAAACGGAAAATTAGATACGGCAGCTATGCGTGCATAAAGAAGTAATAATCCGACTCTCTTGCTCAATAGTCGTGGTACATATCTAAGGCACCATAATTTGCCATATACATGTGCATTTTTACCATGGTGAATAAGATCTATTTGGATATTAAACTCGTTATTTGGAGTGTTGGACAGAATTTTAAAAATAGGAGTTCATCGGAAAAATTTAAGTCAGTTTAATTGTCAGAAGTTGTTCTGAGGATATCTTTTTTGGTATCTTATGATAATTAAATGGATTGTACTTTAGGGTCAATTTGCTGTTCTGCTGATGGCCATAATGGAGCGATGTGACAGTTAATGGATCTGTCGTCCTTACAGTACCATCATGAGAGAGCCTTATATTCCTGACAGGAGCTACAATACAGGGGAACGATGCCAAAATAAACTGGCAAAGACTCGTAAAATGTGTTGCATCCATGGGGTAGTAGTTTGACATTCCTGCAAGATATTTCAGGTCTGTTTTCCCAGGGCATAAGGATGCTCACTTTAAGGAGTGCAGTCATGTGTTTTTGACGTTGTGCCCCACTGGAAATTCCACTTCAAACATGTACACCTTAGCCATTGGTTTCTGTTGGACGCCGGTGTGCTGGTACAGTTGTTTCCTATGTACATACTATATGTAAAACATTATTTCACCAGGTGAGAAATTAAGACAGATTGTGCAGTACAAAATATCTTCTAAAACAAACATTTTCCGGAATTTCATTGATGGGAATTCCACTGATTATTATTATTTACATTTTCTTCTGCATTTGAGTTGTGTTCTGGAATCAAGGACTTTTCAAGGTAATTAGCTTGATAAGATTGAAACCTCTTTGTTTTGTGGAATAACAGCAGATGCTTTGCTGTGTTCAAATAAGTGAATACTCGGAGCCAATGGCATTGGGTCTTCTTGGGCCCACAAACAGATGATTTACAAGCAACACTCATCAGATAAACTGAAAGGAATAGTTAAATTGTTTTGCAACAATTGTCATGTTTACAGGGTACAGGAAGTGTGTGATGGCAAACACACAAGGAATCTGTCACTGCTCTGTCAGTTCTGCTGAGTCATTGCACTGATATGTCCATCATCTGTCATGTGACATGGGTGCCCTCATTCTTTTGGGAGGGTGGCGGGGTAACCGTGTCATTGTATTTTGGTTTCCCTTTCTGGTTGTTGTAATTTTTGGGTCTTGTGATGTTGACCTGCTGACACAGTCACCTAGCATTATATGGATGATGTCCTTTCACAGAGCTGTGTATTTCATCTGTCTTTCTGGAAATGGTACCTGCAGAGGTCTTCGTAGCTATGGTTTTTAAGGCTTTTTCTTGATAGTGTTTCTATTTTATGTCAACTGCTGTGGTTTACATTGGGAAGAAAGTTTCTGTGTCAGCTTGCCAGTGACCAGTTAGGGATTGGTGGATGGTGGGGGGTGTTGAAGTGGGTGCAAAAATAGTTTTAAGGAATTAACTCAAATGATGGGCATTTGGTTAAAATGATTATTTGATCCCTAGAAGACTAGTCATTTTGCAGAACTGTTTAACATAAATACAACACAATTTGATTGTTAGATTCCTTCATTATGGCAGATGGTTTTGGTGTCTACAGTAGAGCAGTCTGATTGTATGAAGTCAGTGTACCGTTTCATGAAATTATCTGCTTTGTCGTGGGTGGGGTGGGGGTGAATTGAGGTTAGAAGGCATGAAATGAGGAACTCACTCACGAGCCTTGTGGTTTTATGATGATTTCACAGCAGAAGAAATGTTGATGGTGAGATTCTCCGTGGAGATGGGGCGCAAGATCGCCTGAACCTCGTGCTGTAAGAGAGGAAATCCCTTGGGAGCTTGGCTGAACAAAGCCTTTATTCTTATCAACTGTACAGCTGCACTGCTTTAGTGCTTCCACTGAGTAATGTCAGACATTTGAAGTGTGAAGTTAATTCTCTGTCTTGTGTTTTCAGTCTTTTCGGGGAGGATACTGCTGGTGGAATATGGCCCCCACTACCCCAGTTTCAATGGCCATGATATTGTGGTTGATGTGGCCTTATCTAAGTTGTCTCTTTTAATCTTGAGGACGTTCCCTTGTCCACTATTACCGTCCTGTTTGATTTGGGATCTGTTTACATCCATCTCATTCTGTCGTTTTGCATGTGCTGTCCTGGCTTTGTTCACTGTAGGCCATGTGCTCGGCCAACATCATAAAGTCCCCGTCATTCGAGATGGCATGCTGTCCCTGGCAGACTTGGCAAGCTCTCCACATGTTTTCTTCCTGCTCCAGTTTCCATCCAAGCCCTGAAAATAAGCTGTTTATTAACTGAAGATGCTTATGCGCGTGTGCAGGTGTATATGAGAATGACCCGTCTGTTTATATTGGTCCTTCCTGAAATGTTGTTTTTAATTTTTATGGCAAGCAGTATATGTGTTACCCAATCCTGCCTCTTGGTGGCAGTTGGCCAGGTCCAGAGGAAGGTGATGTAAACTTGGCCCCACCTCTTCACAGTCCCTGTGGACCCACAGCCTGGCCAGCAATGTGCCAGTTCTCTGCGACATGCTCTTTCCTCACGTCCTTTTTCCCGCTGTGAGAGCTCTCATTGCATGACGGTGATGGTATTTGGGTGGAAACACTCTGCTCACACCTTGCTGGATTTGTGGATCTTTGTGGGGCTCTGTTAGAGAGTGCAAGACTTGCAAAATTGCTAACCCAATGTCCCAGAACAATCAAGTTTTCCTCTTAGGCTACCTAAATGTAACCAATCCGCCCAACAGGCTTAAGTACAATAAAATTCCCTCATTTATTTGCCTTATCTGCACTTGACTTATTTGGAGGAAAAACTTTGATCACCAAACGAATGAGTTGCTGATCATGAAGATGGTTTGTCCACCAGGAAGTGTATGCTTAAAGCCTGATTTATAGGAGTGTTGTGCGATTGCCTCATGCCGCCATCTTGGTGCATTGCAGTGTTAATTTTGTTAACGAAAAATTTCCGTTATCGTTATTGTCAACGACCTTTATTTTCAGACTAAAACGAGACGATAACTAAATAAAAATGATTTTGCGAGGCCTAAGACTATGACAAAGTGTATTGACACTTTCGACAACGAATAAAAACGAGACGAAAATGTTTGCCAGAGATGAGATACAATCAGATCTAATGCAGTTTGTGTAAGGCAGGGTTATTCAACTAAAATTTAAAGAGGTCCAGTTAGAGAATATTTCTTGAAGCAAAGATCAGGAAGATCGTAATGTCTAACTATTTAGTGTGGTATATATTTCAGTAGCCTATTATAGTTGGATCAGCATTGCATGTAATCAATACCTGTCAAATCAATTAATTCAGTACAAAAACTTTTTGACAATATTTATTGTCACGTGACATAAAGCTGAACATATATGTATGACTGCCGATATGGATAATGTTTTCTCATTTACTAGTTTTAAAAGGACATATTAAAAGTAGGGCTGTATTTCAAAATGAGATATAAAATGTTAAAATTGTACATGTTTGAATAAAGTGCTTAACTTAAACCGTAAAACCCTAATACAATCGTTTCTATGTCATATATTTCAGTGTTCATGGATTTAAGTATTGGTTTCGATAATCCCACACCGGTAATAAAATTAAAGTCTCGTTTTAATAGAAATACATACGAACTTATCACTTCAAATGCAAATTGGAGCAGGATAAGGGCGGTCATATTACTTCGAAACATATTATAAAATATAGTGTTTTTCTCATATTAGCTTTATATTTGTCGGAGTAACAACACAAACGGAATGACGAGCCGTTTCAGGCGAAAACAGAACATTTTACTTTTTATCTCAAATAAAACGCGGGGTTGCCAACTTCAGCCAGTAGGCTGGAGTGAGATTTTCAATTCGAGATGTCTACACACATATGTAACAGTTCTTACCATGTAAATAGTCTGCTTTTGTATTTAACCGTGTACACTTATGACGTAGCTAATTTTAGGTTTATAATGGAATAAAATAGATTTGCCGTAAGATTGAGTCTGAAAGCGTATCATACCAGAAGCTTAAGATTTGGCAACCCTGAAAACGTACATTTTTTTGTTTCACCTGAGTTGATTTATATAACAAATAACATTACTTTATACAGTTGTTAAAAAGTGGAAACTTCAACGAACATGAAATCACCTGAAAGAGGGGAGAGTTTATTGTTGGCTCTATACACTAATAGAATTGTAGCCTTGAGGTAATTATTTTGCTGTTGAAAATGCTAAAATCGAATGTTTGCACTTCCTGCTACTTCCGTTGAGAAGTATGTTTTCAATGTTTGGATTTTTTTTTCTTGATAATGGGTATAAGTCCCTGAGACCATTATTGGTCTTTTTCTTTGAAGATATTTGAGAATTTCAGGTGAAACATTTAACAGCGAACAATAGCAAATAAAAATATTACAAATATTTATTTTAATATTTTTATTTTAATATTCAGCGAGAGCAGGCCTGGTGGCATTATAGCCTATGCACTTTTTCTTTGAAGTGATTTTATTTTTGCACTAATGGCACTACTGATTTTACAGTACTCAGTTTCCGGGTAAACAAACATATTTTCAAATAAGAGTGAAATCTGTATTCGTGTACTGCACAGTCAGACCTTAAAACCATTCCTTAACATTGGTTTCATTTTATCTTGGTGAACATAATGACATTCAGAAATTGAAGGGAAACTTTAAGTATGACACTTTGCACTTTTAATTTTAGTCGACTAAATCAACTGTAGTTTTAGTCTACTGTAATCTTGTGATATTTAGCTGACTAAAACTAAAATTAGATGACTAAATTATGACTGAAACTAAATTACATTTTAGTCAAAAGACTATGACTAAAACTAAATTAAAATTTGCTGTCAAAATTAACACTGGTGCATTGTCGATCATGGTAATATACTACTTCAGGTACGTTAAACCAAACAAGTCAAATACAGCTTTTTTATCACACAAGTTGTACAGTATTCAGTATACTGCATATGGTGATGCAAAATGACGTTGTATAAACGTTAAATGGAAACAAATTAAAAGTATATCATTAACCGTCTTTTTTCAAATGGCATGGATAACACTGAAGCAAAAGAAAGCAACTAAAAGTCTGGCGGTGTAATTTCTTGATTTCTGGCTGGGTGCAAATATTGCAGAGGAAAAAGCGTGGACGAAACATTTCAGTGTATTCATGCGTAAGTACAAATAAAAATCTTGTACTTATTTTTCTTCATTTATAATATATTGTTTATAGTTACATTATTTTCATCATGTAACGGTAACGCTAAACAATCACGTTGCTCTGTAATATAATGTTAAAGCTATAGTGCTGTGTCTGTTGTTATTACAACAAATCTGGTTTGATCGCAAGTAAGCAAATTGGCAAATTGTTAATCGGTTTCTTTTTGCTTCTCTCCCTTGATGTCTGTGATACTGAATGACTGCTGTGCCATCAGTTCATTGCTGGTGGCCAGTTAATGTTATCTCATAGTAGCTGGTTTGCTTAATGTGAAATGGTAAGAATGGCCTTTAGGATATACTTAAATGTTAATTTTTTATTTGAAAATATTTTTGTCGTCTTTTTTTTTTATTTGGGCTAGTTAAAATTCATTTTGGGACTACCAAAATCTAAAGAAAGGCTAGCAGGGATTTAGAAATTTTGCGAGCCCTGGAGTGGCTTGCGTTCTCATGTGGCATCATGAGTTAACTGCTTCATGAGCTACATCAAAGGCCAAGGAGAACTGCAAGGCTTTCTTCTGTTTCCTGTCACTGTTCCCCGGCAAAATGTGTTGATAAGATTTAACAATAAAATGCTGCTGGTATCCACTGATTGATCTTTAGATTCCAGTCAGTCTATCCTCTCATCACAAATGAGGTGGACCAGATAAGGCCAGATGTTTATGGTTGCCACGGTTTCTTGGGGAAATGGTCAACTGTGCAGTCATGCAGCAAATAGCTACTAGTCGAGTAAGCCTTTGTGTGCTCAATTGCATATCTCCTTGCAAATGAGGTCTGATTGGTGTGGATCTTACAGAACCCTACTGAACACGAGGACTCGATTTTGTTCAGCATTAACGAATGTATAAAGAATGCAACGTTTTCTTGGCGCGTGCCTGGGCATCTCCCGCCTGTTCATGTGCCTGCCTGCCCGTCTGCCTGCATACGCACACACGCCATGTTCCTCGTGACTGGCAGCCAGGAGCACATGACTTGCTTGAGACTGAGATCAGGCCATCATGCTGAATGCACACTGTAGAGCAGCCTGAGGTGAAACGGAGAATGTGGGAATGAAAGCCTGTAGGATTTGACTCGGTCTGTGGGTGTGCTTGTTACACACTTCTTAAAAGCATTCTGTCATATGCAATAATGAAGATTCTTTAAAGATGCAGAATCTACCATACAGGAATGTCTTAAGCTATTAAATGCATTGATAGATGCATTTATTCATCTTCTACAGCCAACATTTCATTCTCCAGGTTTTTTGGTGTCAGAATCAAATAGAAATTATATTTGCTGGAATCAGGAAATGGTTAAAAGCTATGGTGTAATATACAGTTGTGCACTCAAGCAGTAAGCATCGTTCAGATGTTGTGAGAATCATGTACGCAACATCCACTTGGGATTGTTCTGTTTGCTTTTTTTTTTGGATAGAACCTCCTTTCTCCTCCTCAGTATATAGTAAGATCATAATATGGCACTATATTCAGTGGATTAACTCATCTCATTGACAGTGTTGATCAATGCAGTAGCCTGACACAACAGTTGCATGTGTCCGGTTCTGGAGCCCTTGGTTCTGACGTATTCTCTCTCTGCCTTTTCCTCAGTGTGTCAGAATGACGTCCCGAAAGAAAGTGCTACTCAAAGTCATCATCCTAGGAGACTCTGGGTGAGTGTTGCACTTTTTTCTGTACCCATCTGTTCTCTGGAGGTTGCACACCTTCGGCCTTTCTGATTGTGGTCTAGTTTATTGTTTCCTTGTTACAGTCTGTCTGTTTGTCTGTCTGTCTCTCTGCCTGTCTGGGTTTCCCCCTCTGTGTTTTTTTTTTTGTCTGTGTTTCTCTCTCTCTGTTTCTGTCTCTCTGCCTGTCTGTCTGTTTCCCTCTCTGTGCTTGTTTGTCTGTCTGTGTTTCTCTCTCTCTCTCTCACACACACACACACACACACACGCCCCATGGACGACAGGTGGGCTTAGCAAGGTCTTGCCCAAGTGTGTTAATATTAAATCCACAAGATTATCGCTTGTTGAGCAAGTGTGCGATTGTGTCCATTGTACACCAAAGGGTCACGTACAGGGTGTCGGAGTTTAAAATGTCACCTCGTAAGTCCAGTAGCTCCTGACTTCCATCCATCCTCGCCCCAAAGCACCCTGCCTGTTAAATGTCACCTTTCCACTTGCAAGCTGACCTGGAAGCAGGCCGGTATTCTAGTGAGGCTCCTGGAGATGTTCCGCTATCATCTGCCATATGCTGAGCTGTGATGGGCATGAAGAGTTAACACTCCACCCTCCAGAGCTGCAGTGCTGACCATGATGGGTTAAACATATGCTGTTTAATCACTGGCTGAATGTACCTCCAGTGTGGTAGCATTTGTAGCATCATAGCATTTTGTAGTATTTGGTCAGCATGTGCCCTTAAGTTGGGAGCGGGCTTCCCTGACCCACATTATTCTGCGGGAGTGAGGACGCCGATCAGCTCATGTTGTGCTGGCCGGGTTTGAGGGCTGGGTTCTGGTGAAACTGAAGGGTTCTCTCCTCCAGTCTATGATGCTGTCAACTGGATGGTTATGACAGAGTGAATATGTCGAGGGAAAATGGTATATTTATAGTATAAATTTATATAGTATTTATAGTATTTTTTTTACTAGTTTTTCCAGTCTGCTGATCTCAGTATGTGTATCTTGTATAGGTGAGCCCATATTAATTAGCTTGTACCATTGTCTTACCTAATTAAATGTTACTCTGTAAAATTAGTTACTGCTATAGTAAACAATCAGGCATTCCAGTTTAAAGATTCCATTTAATATAGTTTATTTTTAATGCAATTTCCGATCATGAAGGCCTTCATATTATTTTAGCTTGTATTTGACATTGAGATGGTTCTAGAGATGAACACAGTGCTCACAGTAAAACGGCGGAGGACCTTCTTAGAAACATTTGTGATAACTGTATCAACTGAGCCAAACGGAACAGCTTTCTGAAAGAGAGAGAATAGAATATGACTGTAATTCTCTCTATTATTCTGTACTTTCCTCTCATTTGTCCTGTCCTCTTTCTCTCCTTTAATGCATTTTACCACGGTCACTGTCTTCCTGTAGTAAAATTAACATTTTTTTGGACTGGGAATGACTCAAGTATGGGAGTTCTCATAATTGTCCTCTCCTCACCCTGCCTCACCCTACCCTGCCCCACCCACTCCGGTTTTTCTCCATTTTCCCAGAGTTGGGAAGACCTCTCTGATGAATCAGTATGTGAATAAGAAATTTAGCAACCAGTACAAAGCCACAATAGGAGCCGACTTCCTGACGAAAGAGGTGATGGTGGACGACAGGCTGGTGACTATGCAGGTATGGGAGGAACCCTGTGTATACAGGGGCGAGGTCACAGATGCACTGGCACTAATTGAAAGCTGATTGGCCCCCGGAGTACTCCCTCCCCTCTCACTCCGATTCACAACATATAATTGGCTAATGATAAGGTTGGCTCCTCTGTATGAATTATGGCCCCTCTTATGCCCTCCACCTTACAAAAAATCCTAGAATTGCCCCTGGCGTGTGGCCCACCAAAGCATGCCAAAATGTAGGATGGAGCCTTCCCCAAAAACCTGGAGATGTCAGCCAGTGGTGGCTGCCTCGAGTTTCTTGCACTCTGTAGCATTCTCAGTTTCTCCCTCATGCCCCCAGAGGCTCCGCCTCCTTTGTTCTCACCTTGCTTGTTGCGTGTCTAGTTGTAGTTCTTGCCCCGCCTTCCTCAGATCTGGGACACCGCGGGTCAGGAACGCTTCCAGTCGCTGGGCGTGGCCTTCTATCGTGGCGCCGACTGCTGCGTACTCGTGTTTGACGTGACAGCGCCCAACACGTTCAAGACCCTGGACAGCTGGAGGGACGAGTTCCTGATCCAGGCCAGCCCCCGTGACCCAGAGAACTTCCCCTTCGTGGTTCTAGGCAACAAGATAGACCTAGAGAACAGGCAGGTGGGTTTTCGTGTAAAAGGCACTTGGGCCTGTGACCTTCACGGACATGGCTGAAACACCTCGGCGGGAATCGTTATCACCACGTCACCACCCACCGTGACAATGTATTTGTTTTTTGTTAATTTACCTCTCGTCTCATTACCTTCATTACCTTTCGTTCGTAATTCCCTGGGTCAACTGCAGGGAACTCTGAACTTGCTCAAGCTTTTATAAGTACGAATACACCACCAGAAACAGCTCACAAGACTTTACACCACTGCGCTGCTGAAATCTTGAATTTGATTGGTCAGTAGGGTGTCGATTTGCCGGCACTAATATAATCTTTAATTGTAACATCATTTAAAATTCTAGAAGTAGAACACAATTTAAAATCAATAGAAACTAAACAGAAATGTTTAATCATTGTCAGAAGAAAGTGTCACTATGAATAAATGCATCTTCGGCTCATAAACTTGCAAATAATGTCATTAAGTACAAACATGAAGGCCAAAGTTGCGGTAACTTTGGTATAAGTGGGTTAATGCACTCCAAGCCATCCAGTACCCCATACTTTAATTTAGCCATGATTAGTTTTAACTTAAAGCATGTCTGACTGCAAGCTGCACAGGTGTTCGTTGTGTTAATATGGCACTTTCTGTACATGTGATTCTGCATGAACTGTCTTAGTTTTTTGTCCTTATTCTAAAAGAAGGTCACAAGACTGACTCATGCGACACACTGCCAGACTCTATCTATAGCAGCGCTATGAGAAATTAGCCTATTAGCATTTAATTTGGGCGTGTTCTAAACTTTCTAATGATTTTTTTTCTCTTTAATGTAATATGCTCAGTATGCTTTCTTATCATTGAATCAATAATTATTGCGGCTCCTGCTTGTCAGGAAATTCCAAAGAACAATAAGCTATATGTTTTACTAAAAAGCAAAATATGTTTTAAAATAGTTTAAAATTTATATTCTTGTAGACCTGTGAAATGGTAATTTAATTATGTAATCGAGGTAATGAGAATTGAAGCTTGAGAGCATATTAATTTTTTTGGATTATTGGTGGGAAAAGAGAACTAAATCTGCAACAGGGTTGGCTCCATTCTGGAATGCATTCATCAATTCCAATCCAAATCAGGAAATGGAGTTGGGATTGGAAAAAAAACTATGGGAAACAAAACTGGAACTGAATTTGAATTTCTGGGAGATTTAAATTCCAACTCCAGTTCCATTTCCTGATTTGGATTGGAATTGATGAATGCATTTCAGATTGGAGCCAACCCTGATCTGCAACCAGCATTACTACTGAAGTTGAGCTGCGGGACATGCAATCTCCCGCTAATACCATATGAGTTGTTGCCATAGAAACCAGTAGCTACATGCGACATTTGTAAGTTTTGTTGCTATTCTGTTCCTCAGCTGAATGATCAGAACTGTTAGTTTGTCTGGGTGCATCCATCAGCACGTCAGAGATCGTTACACGGAGGAATGCATGCTCGGTCCGAACCCAAATCGAAACGCCTGTCGGAAACTGAGGCTCGTCCGTCTCTCTCAGGTGACGACAAAGCGGGCGCAGGCCTGGTGTCAGAGTAAGAACAACATCCCGTATTTCGAGACCAGTGCCAAAGAGGCGATCAATGTGGAGCAGGCCTTTCAGACCATCGCACGCAACGCTCTGAAGCAGGTATGGGGGACTCCCGGGGGCTTTAAACGCTCCAGGTCTGGGCGGGACATCAGCATCAGGGAAATGGACTGTGAGCAGATTTAAGGTTTTGCAAAGCAAAAAAGAAAACAAAAACATATTGTCAGCTTTGTAATCTTTACTGTTCAGATCTTTTCTTTTTGGTCAGTCTTCTATCGAAACCTCCTGTATCCATTATGGTATCACCCCTGTCTCTCCCCATCAGGAGACTGAAGTGGAGCTGTACAACGAGTTCCCAGAACCCATTAAACTGGACAGGAACGAGCGAAGCAAGCCCTCAGAGCCCTGCAGCTGCTGAAGATGCTGGGTCCCCTAAGGCAGCGTTTCTCAGTCCAGTCCTCGGGGACCCGCGGACAGCCCACGTTTTTGCTCCCTCCCTGCTGGGAGAGAGCAACCATGTGTACTGTCTGGCAGGGAGCAAAAACATATACCGACTGTGGGTCCCAACGGACTGGATTGGGAAACATTGCCCTCTGGCACCTTTACTGTGTTCTCTGGCCTTTGTACAATATCCCCCACTCCCTACCCACGAGTCCCACTGTCCAAACAATTGCCGGTCTTCGGAAGTAGCTTATTGGAATTCTAGAATTAGAATAGCTGGAATCCCCTGTGGAACATGATGCAACATTCTCACCCATGCCTGCACACAGAGACAAACTCCTACAAGTCCAGTAAGCACCAGCCCTAATCCCAGTCTTACACCCTCATTACTGATAGATTCCACACATCCCTACCACTGTACAAATGTTTACCCCTTCACCCAATATATGAGACATCTCCTGCATAAGGCTTTAAGTGGGTTGGGGCTTTGTGGTTAAGACACCATTCACTTCTAGTGTTGAAGGATTTGATTAACGTTAACAAGAAGTATTTATTAAAAAATGACATCTGCCTGAGCTTCATTTTGAACTTCGCTGTTCTGCGGTTCTCTTGTAAATTCCCCTCGTTACTTTTCTTAAATGTGTACACTTCTGTTGGCTTGGGAGCACTGGACATTGCACTTTTTAACTCCTAAATGTAATAAAAACGTTTCATTTCGGGGGGATTGCACGTGGTCAGCTGCTGCTTAAACCTGTTTTCTCCTGGAACATTTGTGTGAACTCAACGCAGTCCCACCACTGTTGTGGAAATAGCACCTGCAAACAGCTCTTCTTCCGCCTTGCCAAGGCCTGTTCTCCTACACGCCTGTTTTCCCTTCCTCCACCCTCTCCTCTCTGCGGAGTCCTGGTGGCGAGTCTCTGGGTATACGAAGGCATCTTGGTCCTCCTCCGATTGCTACTGATTGACCTGGGATCAAAGGGTTGTGCTACACCAGGCGAAGCACCGCAAACAACATCAACAGAACCCACAGGGAAATAGCATCCAATAGGACTGTTGTGATTGTTACTAGAATATTAATACTACTTACCACTAGTTCTGTGTGTATGACTAGCCCTACTACGTTCTACTCTGTCTTATTACAAGACAGTACAGACCCACGGCAGTCTGTAATAATCTATCAGTCGATCAGTGGTTCAATCAGTCCCGCTGTCTTCTTCCAGTTCCCTGTCTATGCTGATAGCTCAGGTTGGCAAATTTCTTAAGTGCTTGATACCAATCTGATCACCTTTTATGGTCTATACGTGTACAATTCTTATTAGATTAGAAATTTTAATTGCATTAACAGAAAAAAAAAATCCTTTCCAACTGAAAACAAGTTTGGGGGGGAAATACTTCGGGGAGAAATTAAATGAAAACTTGTCAGGACTTGTCATGGTATTAAAATACAGAACCAGTTACATTGTTTAAAACACGTATTTGGGTTTCAACGTAACAATAATAAAATGTTCTTGAATAAATATTCTCTTACATCATTATTTTTTACTTGATGGGAGGACATACAGTAAACCAAAAAAGTAATATATTCATTTTCATGGTTTAATTGTAGGATACAGAAAGCATTTTAGTAAGTTTGTATTTATAAATGAGGAATTCGGATATAATCAACTGTAGCTTGACCTATACATTCATCTGCAATATCAGGCTGATCCCAGGAAGCACAAGGCAGGGAACGCCGTGCATCCTGGATGGGATGTCAGTCCATTCCAAGATAAACACACAAATTGTAAAACAATGTAGTTATATAGAAAAAAACTACGTAATGTTTAACTGTAGTGTGGCATTAAGATAATCTGATACATCTGTTATATTTGAAGTAAAATCATCAACATCATGAGTTTTTCAAATTGCCTCTCCAGTGCAGAAAGGCATGGGCACTGTGTGCCGTCTGTCCTAACAGCCGATTGGTAGAAACCTATTTGCTATCAAGTGGCAAGGCCTAAAACAAAAACTACAATGTCTGATGTTAGTCAAGGGAAATATACTGTATGGGGTCCTGCCTTCACCAGGGATTGTCAACCTGTCCAAAGTAAAATGTTATTGAGGAAAAAAAATACTATATACACTAACTTCTTAACTACCATGTCCATGGTAATATTTGCATTTTGATCAAAATGTCCATCAGAATTCGCCATGGTGTCGACCCCTGACCATCACATTTAGCTATAGCTCTAGGAATCTCAGCAATTCTTATGCCATTTGCTGACATTTGTTTTTTTCCTGAATATTAAATATCTACTTAATCTGTTGTATGCGTGTGTACAGCAGATGAGCAACACCATTTGTGACAAGGGAATCAATCAGTAGTTAGTGAACTATGATCTGACCATCTAAGCGTGTACTGACCCCAGCATGCTATGTGTGTAGCATAAACACTCTCTGCCTTGTTTATGTGTGTTTGAAGAGGCCTCAGCTCTGTATATATGGAGTGTTTAATTTCACTCACTGCTGAAAGACATGCAGTTCAGATGAAACTGGGAGCTCTAAATTGCCCCTGTGTTTGTGATTGATTGCCCTATGTTAGACCAAAGTGCCATGTAGGCTAAAGTGTGCTTTGTACCCCATACATCTTGGATTATTATGGCAACCAGAACTAGGTGAGTGGTCAAGGACATGGACTGAGGGACATGGACTGAGGGACATGGACTGAGGGACATGGACTGAGGGACATGGACTGAGNGGACATGGACTGAGGGACATGGACTGAGGGACATGGACTGAGGGACATGGACTGAGGGACATGGACTGAGCCAGTAGCTAGGAGGATATTGTTACCTTTGGAGGTGGAGAATCATGTTCCAGGTAATGCAATTCAACATTTATCAGCATGAACTAATCTGTTCGGTTGTTCCAAAATTTATGTTCCACATGGATTTAAAAAGGTTAGTTGAAGTTTATTGTGATTTTACTGGTCCATCACACAGAATACATCATAAAGGCTGTACCTGAAATACGTGTTCACCATTCTTATAAACAAAATTACATGTTTCTATACATCTGTCAAAACACAAGGCAGTGAAACAGGGTTACGGTTAGGCTTTACGGTTAAGGTTACAGGGTTAATAAAGGATTAGGGTTAAACTAAGGTGAGGGTAAGTATGACAATTTAGGTTAGGTTCAGTGGTCCTGGTTAATGTTGACATTTGGTTTGGCGTTAGGTTGGTATTAAAGTTAAGGGTGGAATCTGAATTAAAATGAAGGTTACTGTTAGGTTTGCCAGGATTAGGGTTATGGCTGTTATTCGGTACAGGGTAGTTGTTGGGGCTTAGATTAGAATTTGGGTTGAGAATAAGGATAAAGTTAAGATTAGGTATGCAATTAATGTTAAGATCGAGTTTGGCAGAAGGGGTAAGATTATGGCTAGCATTGGGGTTAACATTACTGAATTTCCTTGTACCTGCTGTGCACAATGGCCAAGGCATTCTATTCTATTAGGGAAATATGTTTACATTACCATTATGGGTTAACATTTTCATTAAGGTTAGGTTTAAGCTTAGGGTTTTCTTTACAGTTTATATATATGGTCTGAGCCTTAAGTTGACTGTCAAACCCTCAACAACAGCATTAACAAAGGACACACAGAAATATACATTACTGGCCTTGTTTCCCATTGGTTGAGTTGCCAAAAATAAATTAATAATTTTTTGGCTAGACTACCCCACACCCAGGCTCCAACCAATGACCCAGGCAGCAGTCCAAGGCCCCTTAGAAATGCTACTACAATTACTACAAGCACAAAATTTACATCTATTCATTTTCTATACAGTACCTTTTCATCCTATTCAGGGCCACGAGTGTCCGGAGCCTAACCCAGAAGCTGCAGATGCAAAGTAAACCAGCCCACCTCACACCTATGGGCAATTTGGCAACTCCAATGCACATTAGCATGTTTTTGGATCGTGGGGGGAAACCACAGTCCTCAGAGAAAGCCCCAAGAGGACATGGGGAGAATATGCAAAAATCACAGTTTGAACCCTGGTCCTAGAGGTGTGAGGCAACAGTGCTAAGACCTAAGACATGTATAAAAGTTGTACATTAACAGAAAAACCAGGTTAATACTTACAAGCCAGGAAAAAAACACAGGGTTCCTTATTGAGTGGCCTGGCCTGCCACGCATAATTTTCGTGGGTGGGACAAAATTACTTCAACCGGGCTCCCATGACGTGCAACCCCACCCACCTAAGCCCGGGCCTGTTTCAACGGATGGGCCATAATCATCGAGCTAACCTGTGATTGAAGCAGATCGGAAACAAAACGACCCAAGTACAAGAACAAAACACACATTTAAAATCAATTTAGAGTTAAGACCATTTCTACACAAGGCCACAAATGCAATTTGTATAATTATTAAAATGGTAGACGCATTGATACTGAATTGATTAAAACATGGAAATGGTAGCAAACAGCGCGTAGTACGCCATTATTATTAAAAGCGTTTAACATGCGAATCACTTTCGCCCTCTAGCGGATATAGAACAAATTAAATTTAGATTTTGGACGAGATATACTTTACATACGGGACGTTAGTCATGGTTAAAAATGAAGCACCAATACTTAAATGGAAAATTATTTCAATGCGGTCTATATGGGCCATAAAACTGTCCTGGAGATTATAAAGATATTCAAAGGTATCATTCCTAGAGGAAACATAAGCATAGTATCGCCTCTTTTATTCTCATTCGTTTTTCCATATTCTCATTGTAATGGTTACATTAATATTTTGTAATACGGAACTGTTAGGAGCTTGCATCAATTTCAATTACCTTTCATACTTGTGTGAACTATAGCGTGTCAATAAATCTAAATCACACAATCTCTAAACCAGCACGGCAGAACAGTGCCCATTTAAGTTCATGTGGCGCCCGTGTCATGGTTCTGCGGTGCGGGGGGGGGGGGCTCGCTTGCTAACTTGGCGCCCCCTCAGAAGATGGCGTCCTGGGCACTGTAGCGCACTAGAAAAAAATCAGGCAACCTGATAAGTGAGCTAAACGAAAACAAGACCAATCTTCCAGAAGATTGCAGATGTAATAGCCCGTTTTTTTTAGGCCTTACAAAAGTTAATGAGTTATTTTGTATGAATTTTACTGATATACTGCTTGAATCCATAGACCTAACTTGTGGCCTTTTATGACGGTGTTTTAGAGAAATACACAGCTGGGATTTTAAAATTAAAGCATTTTGATATCTTGCACCCGCAAGGGCGTGACTGGGCTAACTGCACTACCCATCCCACCCCCGCACTTTTTTGTGTATTAAATAAATTATAACTATATAGTAAAATCATCCTACGTATTTTAATTATTATTTTTAAGATACATTACCTAGATGCGTATTATGCATGAAGGCGTAACGGGACCATAAAACAATTTTATGTCAGCATGCTTAGGAGCTGCCACGCGAGGGCGTCTGTTGTGTTACTTGAAACAAATTAAACTTTAAATATAAAAACACCCAGTGCTCTGATAAGGACAAATGTGGTCACATAATACCAAATAAACTCCCCTTTGTCGATACGTACCACGCACTTGAAAAAGTTTTGTTTATTTTCTCGGATATTCGTGACTGAAGAGGGTGCCCCCATCCTGATTATTGCTGGAAACCCGGTGTGGACGCTTTACTTTCTCTATTTTCTCAGGGGTGGTGTTTCTCACCGTTTTATCTGGTATATGTCCGCACAAGGCATCATCGATGCATCAGGTCTGATCTATTTAATTCCTCGGTAACTGTTCCCTGTTTAAGAAAATTGAGTCGAAACAAACCACAAAAAGCACAACCTTGCACACGCCGTAGCGGCGTGTGTTGTTGTTCCCAAACAGGTCCGCGTGTCGGTTATGTATAAACGCGCCTGCAAAGCGGCGGTCAGGACTTTTCAAATCACGGTTAACGGGCGCGGTGCTGCAGAAGTCTGTTGACTTGACACACACGGAATCCCGTGAATAATTACAGCATCTGATTAAATTTGTAAAATTTGTGGTTAACCATGGCCGCCGATGACCAGGAGAATGCCCCTATCTCGACTTCTGACGAGGCCACCTCTGCTGGGGCTAAGAAGAAAGCCACCGCCAGTAAGAGACCAAAGTCGGGCGGTGCAGAGACTAGCACCCCAGCAAAGAAGAAGAAAAACAAAAAGAAGAAGAACCAGCCTGGAAAATACAGCAAGCTGGTGATTGACACCATTCGCCAACTGGGGGAGCGAAACGGCTCGTCTCTGGCAAAGATCTACAACGAAACTAAGAAGGTTAGCTGGTTTGACCAGCAGAATGGACGAACCTACCTGCGATACTCCATCAAGGCGCTACTGCAGAATGACTCCTTGATTCAAGTGAAGGGCACTGGGGCGAACGGGTCCTTCAAACTCAACAAGAAGAAGTTTGAAAAACCAGCGCAGAAAAAGAAGCCATCCAAAGCTGTTAAGAGCTCCGCGCCCGCATCCAAGAAAGCGAAAAAGCCCTCCGAGAAAGTGAAGGCGAAGGCGAGTCCCAAAAAGAAGCCGCCACCGAAATCGGCTGTTGCAGCTACCAAGAAGGCGGCCAAATCAAAGAAGCCAGCAAAGAAGCCGGCCGCCGCCCCCTCGAAGAAGGTGAAGAAGCCGAAAAAGACCAGCAAGCCGTCAGTGCCAAAAGTACCAAAAGCAAAGAGCACCAGAGCGACAAGAGGGGCGAAATGATGAGCGTGACTTGCTAGTTTGAATCGGGACTATGCTCACCTCCTGATGTGTCTTGGTCGTGCAGATATTCAGTATTTGATCGTCAGCTGTAGCTTAGTGCTACTGTTTTAATTTTATTTTTTTGCATTTATCTAGCCTGCTAATATATTTAAACATTTAAATGCTAAATCTACGGTAGTAATCAGACGTTTAACCATCTGAAGCCTTGTAGTAGCTTATTAGAAAACGTTATGCCGGAATGTTTACTTTGTTTCTATGACGTGTTAAGGACAAATTAGGTGGCTATTGCATACTGTCGTTTGTACCGAGATGTAAAAAATTTTGGTTGTTTTTTTTTTCTTGTGTTAATGCGCTCAATCGCACTGCGTAACACTTTTCGGGAGGGTTGTTTTGGTTGCGTTGAGGGCGACGCCCCCTAGGCATTTGTCTCCTGTATCTTAGTAACAGATTGAACACAGTGCGTGGGACCAAGAAGTCACATCGTGTATATAGTTTTTCTGTATGCCATCACTTTTTTCTTTTTCTTCAAAAGCATTTATTTACTGAGGAATGCTTATAAAATAAAGGTGGCTCAGTTGTTTACCTCCCATGTCCTTATGTGCCCTTATTACATCACATGCTGGATCAGAGCAACTTTTTTAAGGGTAAATCGGTCCATACCTATTAATATATTTCTTAGTGGTGATGACTGGATCACCAGTATTTTTCAGCCTAATGATACAGGTGCAACTCATTAGCCACCATGGGCTTTCATTGTTTACTGTTCATATTTTTTTCCTACTGATTACTGACTCCTATGCATTGGTCACAGTCTCTTGGCCATAAGTATTGCAATAAAACCACATTTACAATTTTCTCCTGTAACAATAGGCTTTGGAATTCATATTACTGCTTCCATCTGTGATTTTAATCATACTTTCAAGAATGCATCCACTCAGTTCTGGTTAATTGAATTCTGACAAAAGGATATTTTAAGGAGTAAAATTTGTAATTCATATTTTAAGCAGTCCATTAGGAGACATATTCAAGTTAATTGGTAAAAAAAGGAAAAGTAAACAATGACCAATTGGAAATAATGTTTATCTGGAGTGTATTTTGCATGCAGTACTGCTTTTTGCCTCATACAGAACATTGAAGTAACTCAATATCGATCAGTGTCACAGTTTGTATGTTGTGACCTATGTATCCAAATACTATCTTTTTCTCCAAATCAGAATAGTTGACATATTAGTATTTGAAGGCAATTACAAGACCATTAAATCACCATAACAAAAGGGAGAAGGTTGTCTGCATTCCAAAGATCTGAGATAGATAATTTTTACTTCTAATGCTTTACATTCAGGTTTATGAATATACTGGCAAGGGTCACTCATGAAGGGTTTATTTGAATTCTATTGAAGCATCTATAGGTATTGATCCTTTGACATGGTAAAACAAGCCATTATAGTTTCTAAATAAAAAAGCATTCCTTTAAATCTTTTAACTTTTTGGCAGAATATTCTAGGGCAAGTTTTAAACATAAAGAAATTTTTAAGTTTACTACCCACCAAAGTACCTAACACTGCTGTGGGAGGACCTGAAAGTTAATGTTTTAGCATCAAACAGTCCACACATCACTAATCAATATTCATGTCGTATCTTACACGTCTAAACCGTATTGATAAAGTTAAGTATCAGACCGTGAGCATTAAAACCAGGGCTGCTCATTCCTGGTCTTGGATATCTAGTCCTCCAGCTCCATCATAAAGTTTGCTGATGACACTGGTGCTGGGCTTATTTTTCAACAATGATGAGACAGCCTACACCAAGGAGGTGGAGAACCTGGCATTGTGGTGTCTGGAAAACTGCCTCCAACTATACATCAGCAAAACTAAGGAGCTGCTGGTGGACTTCAACAGGAGATAGCAGCACCCCTCTCAATGCTAACGGGACTGCAGTACAGAGTGCGAGCAGCTTTACATACCTGTGTGTTCACATCTGAGGACCTGACACGGAATGAACATATAAAAACCCAGCCAAAAAGGCAAGGCAGCATCTCTAACACTTGAGACAGCTAAGGAAGTTTGGGGTCACTCCAACAATTCTAAAGACCTTCTACTCTGATGCTGTGGAAAGCATACTGACACAGAACATCACATCCTGGTCTGGTAACAGCTGTGCCCAGGACCATAAAGCCCTGCAGAGAATGATCTGTGCGGCAGAATGCTGCACCAGATCAGAGCTCCTGTCTCTACAGGACATCAAGAGATGCAGGACCAGAGTAACCAGGACCATCAGGGACTCGTCTCACCCCAGTAACTGTCTGTTTCAGCTGCTGAAATCAGGCAAACATCTCAGAAGTATTATAGCCAAAACAGAGACTCAGAAGGAGCTTCTATCTTCAGGCCATAAGACTCCTTAACCTGGACACTCCACCACAGCTTTTCACATTGTCACATAATACAAACTGAACACTTAATTTGAAACTATCTGCTGACACTCACTCACTAGCCTCAGAACTATTGTTCAGTACACAACTGCACATTGCACTTTAATATACATGGACATACTGTACCTCAATTATATGCACAATGTATAGAACTGTATACTATTAAACATACGAACACTGTATATCTTCTATATATATGCACAGTCTTCGGAGTGACCAGGTGTACATTTCATGTATGTTTCATGCTGCACTTGTATAATCATATACATGACAAATAAAGGAATGCTGAATTGTGTCTAGTAGAAGCTGAGACAAGAATAAAGGATAATGGTGAAGCTGGCTTTTGGAATAAATTCTCGTTATTGAATTTTTGAGTGATATCTCTAATTGATTTACCACAAATCACGTTTTCTTCTCCCAGAACGACCTCAGACCCCTTGTTAAACCACTTTCCTTGAGCAGTCAAGTCAAACATATAACAAGGACTTGTACTTGGAGAAAATAGTTCTGCACTTTGCTACAACCAGAACCAGAACCACCACAGCCTGGATCCTGAGTGATTTCGTATAAAATAGTTTTGTCAGACAATTGTAAATGAAAGCAAAGGGAAGAATCAGTTTGCAAACAATATAAGAAAACACCGTTTATTTCTTGTTAAAAAAATTCTGAATGCTTGAACTCTTGACTGTTATGAAATGTATTGTCAATAATCCAATTCTAAAATGGGGCCCCACAAGATGAGGGTTGTCTATTTCACGCGTTCTTCTGAAGCCACTTGTGTAGCGGTCCTACTTGCTTGCCTTCCTCCTCCGTCCTCTTGCGTTTGGGACAAGCTTTTGGCTCAGTTTTCTTCTCCGGAGTGGCCTTCTGCAGCCAGCTCATCATGGCCTTGCTGCTGGCTGACGGCTGCATCTAGTGAAAGGATGAGGTTACACGGTGCACCATGCTATCAGAACCACAGGATCGTGGCCGTGACTCATGTTAGCATACGTGTGTAAATGGATTATCTTTGCCACTGGCTAGCTACAATAAAATAAAATTCAGGGCTTTTCCTCTGTATTTCCCTAACTCTTCAGGGCTGAGTCTACATTTCTGGCTAACCTGTCAAGTTTATAAAGTGAAGTCAGTCTTATTAAGTCAATGATTGAAATCAAACAAAACTGACAAGTTGTGATTAGAAGAACTCAATGAAGTCTTTCGGTTCTCCTCTCCAAAGGAAAACACTTACGGTGTCTAATGTGATTCACTTGTTTTGTTCAATTCACTTGGGGAAATATTTATGACCAGCTGAGCACACTGTAATACAACACTGCCATTTCTTGCCGTCAGTGTAAGACCGGCTTGAGCTTATGAGGCTCATGGTTTGATTCCATGCATCCAGAGGTGGAGATTTCAGGTCCACAGAGTACAAATCCAGACCAAGATTTTGTTTCAACCAACCAGTTGAATAATAGTGTCAAAGTCACAGTACTCAGCTGGTTGGTTGAAACAAAATCTTTGTCTGGATTTGTACTCTCTGGACCTGAAATCTCCACGTCTGCCTGCATCTTACCTTCTTGCTCCCAGGCTCGAAAGGCTGCAGGCACTCTGGAGAGTTGTTACGCGCATTGTTGACAAATGAGGAGACAGGGTGAAAGGTCAGTTTGTCTTTGGGCTGAAGAAGCTTGAGGGCATCCAGGGAACGGACTTCACCATAATCCAGCCATTTTCTCACCTCTTCTTCTCCATCCAGCAATGCTGGCATCCTTGAAAGTGTATAAGACATTGCACCAGAAGTAGTGCACAGAAGATACACACCAGACACACTTCCTGTCAACTCTCACACCAGTCACTGCTTAGTAAAACATGATAAATGTGTGAATGAATGCCAAATATGTTAATGTGATCAGTTGCCTTACCGATGGTGGATGCTTTGCAAGCCTGGAGAGGCATTCACGGTGATGATGGTGTAGGTGTATAGCTTCTCACCACCACTAGGGGGTGTCCAACTATCAAACAGCCCTGCCATGGTTAGAAGCTTCCATCCTTTCCATGGTCTGTCGTCATCCTACTCAAGTTACCAGTAACAAAGAGAGATTATGAGAAAGACCAGCAGCTAAGTAAGAACAATATTTCAAATATTTCAGTTCTCCCCCCACAGTTAGCTCACCTCCAGAGCCTTTGTGTCCTCAGGGTTCTCCCCCTCTGACTGGACTTTAATAGCCTCCCTTGATCCCTCCTCTTTGCTTTGAGGGAAATAGATGAAGAAGGGCTGCTTCTTCTCAGATTGCTGCCATTCATAGAAGCCATCAGCCAGGATGACACAGCGCTGACCTTTCAACAACGGCTCCTGTGGAGCATAAACACCCGCACACACACAAAACGTTATCCTGACACCTGTGACTAAGAAAAAAATGGGTAAAAAAGTACAAAACACATAATCTGGGCATCTTATCTGGCAGGGGTGCAGTAGGGGCATGGATACCCTTGCAGATTCAGGGGCCCAACACTTTACAAGAGGCCTTGAATGATTTTTTTAATGACACTTTATTGATCCCTCATGGGAAAATTCTGTTTGCCTACCCCATCTTTCTCTCCATAACAAACAGACACACACTATATGGATACAAGTATTGGGACACCAATATGGAGTTGGTACCCCCTTTGTAGCTATAACAGCTGCCACTCTTCTAGGAAGGCTTTCCATAAGATTTTGGAGTTTGTCTGTGGGAATTTTTGGTCATTCATCCAGAAGAGCATATGTGAGGTCAGACACTGATGTTGGATGTGAAGGCCTGGCTCACAATCTCCGTTCTAGTTCTTCCCAAAGGTGTTCTGTGGGTTTGAGGTCAGGGATCTGTGTGGATCGGTCACCAAACTCACCCAACCATGTTTTTATGGACCTTGCTTTCCACTGGAGCATGGGCAGGCTGGAACAGAAAGGGCTCTTTCCCAAACTGTTCCCACAAAGTTCGAAGCATAGAATTGTCCAAAATGTCTTGGTATGCTGAAGCATTAAGAGTTCCCTTCCCTAAAACTAAGGGGCCTTGCCCTACCCCTGAAGAACAACCCCATACCACTATCCCTCCTCCACCAATCTTTACAGTTGGCACAATCCAGTAAGACAGAAGAAATTTCGCAAATTGACTTATTGCAAAGGTAGCATCCTATGTCAGTGCCCTACTGGAATTCACTGAGCTCCTCAAAAGGACCCATTCTTTCAAATTTGTAAACCTGATGGCATGGCTAGGTGCTTGATTTTATCTGATTGAAGTACCTAAATTCAATGATTAAGAGGTGTGTCCCGATACTTTTGTCCATATAGTGTATGCAGGTGAGAGCAAGTTTGGCAGCGAAGGGCAGCCACCTGCTGTGACCCACTCGGTCTTGCTCAAGGGCCCACAGAGTCACATGTGGCCCCATTCAACTGTCATTTTGTCAGGAGGGGTGTTGAATTTCTAGCTGCGTCCCCTGCTGCCTGTTCCTAATCACTGGTACCTTGTAGGATTTCTTCTCCAGGAGACTCTCGCTGCGGCAGTTGCTGGTGCTGTACTGCATTTTGCTTGGGTCGCTCTCCCGGAACCAGGATGGTACCAGGCCCCAGCGCATGGCAGCAAGGACACACTCGTCCGCTGGGGCAGCCTGCACAGTGCATCGATAATAGCAATCACCTTTCACAACACAGAATCCCCTGTAAGCCTGAACAGAAAATGCCTGAGTCACACCACTGTTCACCTTGTCAAAATGCTTCTGGGACAACAAGACTGGGCTCAAGGATTGCGGGCTTTTGTTGTACGACGGTCGGTACTTTTCTGAATCTCCATCTCGCCAGCGAGGTCGTCTGTATTGTCCTGCACGACTGCGGTATCTGGAAGCTCGGCTGATTTCATCCGGCGCAAGTGTGCACGCAGTTCGGCCACACATGACCCAGTGAGGACTCCTTAGAAACCTTACACAGTGACTTCTCATAAATAATCAAAAAGACACAGTATAAATAAAACAAACACCACACACACCCACTGCATTTTCTTAAAATAATCCATTCATGAATGCAAATGAATTAACTCGGTGCCGGTGATTTAAACTGAAGCATAGTGCTGACTTATGCCGTTTCTTATAGCTACAATTAAATTTCAATGCAATGCACTAGACAAAATCTTACCGTAAAGCAGAAAGTGAATCAAAAAAAGACAACGTTGTTACTATTATTAACTATGTCATTCATCCATATTCCCACTGCGTATGATGGAGACGGCAGCGGAGATAAATCATGCATCTGTATTGTTGAAGCAACTGTCACTAAGTAAATTTGGTAGTTAAACAGAAATCACGGGGGTCTCTATACAGAGCTGCAGGTGGATCACGGGTGCAATCAGCGGAGAAAATGTACTTTCGGATTTAAACAGTGGTTTGTGACATCTGGTTTATTTCGGTTAAGTTGTGGTTATTTTTGCAGCCAGCGCTGCAAAAACAAGCATCTAGCCGACAACAGCTCCGCTTCTGGGGGGAGAATCAGTCACCGTGACGGGGTATCTAACCCACTGATTTAAACCATGTCGTAACAAGTCTGAAACATTATCCCCTTAAATATGCATTGTAAATTTTTGAGATGCATTTCGACTCTTGCAAGTAAAGTTGGTTACTAATTTATATGTAATCTTATATGTAATAATCGTAATATAGCTGGACACATACAATGCCTGGTTTAGTTTAGAGCTAGCTTTCAGAAATCGCATCAAACGCACCATTCATAATTAAGGAGGAAACTTTTAAAATATATGCATACCTACATAATAAGATTGTTTTATAAGGTTTAATGAATGTCAACAAACAAAAAAATTCTCATTGCTTTGGTATAATACGGTGCAAGTACATATATCTATTCTAAATTCACTTTAGATACTTTGTTGAATATTACGTTTATAGTGTCTGCAGTTGCACAACAACTAACCTGATAAATCACGTAAGAAAAATTACCTCTGCACAGGGGATTTCAGTGCAGCTAACTGTATGTTCACACGCGTCCGGTGAACAGGTTCATCTGCAGTCCTTTCTGGGTTTCTTGTTTAACAGTACAATATTACCGCCTCCTGTACAGGAAGCTTCAGTACGGCTTCACACACTTTTGTCACGTGATTTTGGTGCCAGAAGCTTCAGTGACTGTACATCCGTGTCACGTGATTCCTGTACTGAGCGCCTCAGCGCGAATATTTGCGCAATTTGCGTAACGATTTTATATTAAGACGTCGCGAATATTGGTAATGAATAATGATATCATACAACATGTCTCAAGATAATACAACTACACATTTAAACTATGAGTCACGTAATTGCAATACAAAAATAGCAATAAAAGAAGTCAAAGTGTTTATTAAATTAGCAAGACTGGATTTTTTTACTTGTGTAATAATGGCCATGCATTAATAATAATATTAATCATCATCATCATCAACATCATCATCATCATCATCACCAGTCCAGGGCACACACTGTGGGTAATAAGTGTTTCAGAATTAAGGTTCAGTTTAAGTCTGTCTGAAAAGTGGCAATGCATTTAATTTTTGCTTTTTAAAAACATTAGTGTATTGGAAGAACAAATGGTGCATCTGTAGCAGATATGCATTTTATTGTCTTGAATGATACATTAGAAACATACACAGATTAAAAAAAAAAACAGTACAGAAATTTGGTTCCTATTTGCAAATGAGATACCGCGCTCACGGAAGAAGCGTTGTACACATGCGCGGTAGCAGCACTTCCGTTTTTCACCTCGCTGAACCAGGGAAATGGTAAGGAAAACTCAATCTTTTATTTCATTGTGCGTTCTATAATTGTGATGTATTTGACGCCACACAGACAAGACAGTGTGATGTATTTTCTCCAAAATATTTAGAAAATTTCTCTGTAGTAATGCTAGAAAGCATTCAAGTTTTAACCCGTGTAGAAAGTCTGAAATGTATAAGGTTGCATCGTTATCTTGAATCCGCACCCAGTTTTTAAACAGATATCAGATCATAGTTATCCACAGCGTCAGCGGAAAAATCGTGGATATTATCTGTTGCGGTAATTCTCGACATTAAATCAGTCTTTTGTTAAAGTGATTTTCAACATCAGATGTAATGCATACATCGAAATTTAATCATCTGTAGTTCTTCACAACTGTTACAGACTTCAATCGTAGTCATAATAATATTTTAAACCGATTATATTAAACACTGGTTAACAAAGTACCGCCGATATAGCTTAAGTATTTGCATTTCTGATTGAATGTAAAACATGCATCATCGTGAATAACTCTAGGGCAAGTTGTTTCCTGTTTTTTAAGGCGAAGCGTCTTCGGTTACTTCTACTTCAGATTTGTTTGTGGTCACTGCTTTAGACCTATGAATGGTTATGCTGTGTGTATGAAACATGAGATATGTTTAATAATTATAATAATCGTTTAACTTTTAGTTGTCTTGTATTGCGGATTTACTGGCCGCTGAAAGTTTTGCGTTATTCCAACTGTTTAATCACCTATTGTTGCACTTGGTTTCTGCTTGGGACGAATTGGGGGAAACTGCTTCAGGGTTAGTAAGAGTGATCTTTGAAGGCAATGCCTTGAATGCCGTAGGAACGCACAGCACACGTGACTGCTTGCAGTGTCTTTGAGTTACTCACGTATCGTAGCCCGTCTCTATCCGCTCATGTCGCTGGAGTGATCCGTCATCCTGTCGCCCCGCAGACAGCAACCTTACGCCCGTATCTGAACGCCGTGCGTGCCACGCTGCAGGCGGCGCTCTGCCTGGAGAACTTCTCCTCCCAGGTGGTGGAGAGGCACAACAAGCCGGAGGTGGAGGTCCGGTGAGTCGCGGGGGGTCGTCGCCGAGCCGCCGAAGGGCTCCCTAAAACCTCGTGTGACCGTTTCCTCCATATTCCCCAAAAAGGAGTAGTAAGGAGCTGCTGCTGCAGCCCGTCATAATCAGCCGCAATGAAAAGGAGAAAGTCCTCATCGAGGGGTCTATTAACTCGGTACGGGTCAGCATTGCGGTTAAGCAGGTGAGATGACATATATGCGATCCACGCATACTTAACTTAAACGGTACAAGACGAAAACATGCAACAAGAATAAGAAAATAAGTTGTATTTAATCTGTTATTTTGGTGATAGTGAAGCTCGGCTATCCACACTTACTATTTTAACTTGCTTGAATCTTGCAATGTAGATTCCGTAATTACTTAAGGAAATCACACGATGAAACTTGCAAATTTTCAATCTGTAACAAGGTTTGGAATGTCAGGTTTTATGCAGAATTTTGACTCACTACAGCTAATCTTAAATATTTACTCCAAAATATATTACAATAACATCCTTAAGTGTAGTGTGCAGTCCCTAGAGCAAAGGCTTATCAGGCCTTTGAAGCTTTCTCTTGTGATTGGTCCCTGCAGGCGGACGAGATTGAGAAAATCTTGTGCCACAAATTCATGCGGTTCATGATGATGAGAGCGGAGAATTTCTTCATCCTGAGGAGGAAACCTGTGGAGGTGAGACTGGGAGGGGAAAGAGGCACGGACAGGACACAAAGAGGCCAAGACTGGAACTGAATGTCAGGAAGGACAGAGTAGTGCATTGACATTTGAGATGGTTTACCTGATGGGAGAAAGTGCTTCAAGCAATGTAATACAGAAAGTTAAAGAATCAGGCTTATGGACTGCAAGCTAAAATGTGAAATCTGGCCAAGAATGCTACGTTTGTATAGCCAAAGGAGATTTAGCATATAGGTAAATCAATGCGGCTTATTTTCTGAAATGTTACTTTTTGAAATTACATTGAACTGTCGCCAGCTAGTGTCACTTATCAGATGTTTACTGCCTCCTGGTTTTTGCTCACCAGGGCTATGATATCAGCTTCCTCATCACCAACTTCCACACAGAGCAGATGTACAAGCATAAACTAGTGGACTTTGTCATCCACTTCATGGAGGAGATTGACAAAGAGATCAGCGAGATGAAGCTGTCGGTGAATGCTCGTGCCCGCATCGTTGCTGAAGAGTTTCTCAAGAACGTGAGTCTTTGGTTTGTCGCCTGTGTCAGTCGTTTCTGAACCTGGTCCTCGGGAAACCGCTGGCTGTCTGTGTCAGCTCCCTAAAACGTAGACTGTCTGGGTCTCTGAGGGCCATGTTGAGAAACACTGGTGTATGAAGAAATGTCACTCAGACGCACCTCTTTGAATTACCACTCCTTCAATTGTTACCATAAATAGACACATCATTCAGAGAAGATGTATCATTTAGCTTTTTAAAAAAATATATACAGCAAATTCCTCTTTGGGGCATGTAAAATTAATGTCCCCAAGAATGCTGGTGCCACAAAGTAGAGAGTTGTGAATGTTCCATGTATAATTTGATTCCAAGCCTATTGTTAATCACATAATAAACTAATGGCCATTTTCATCAATCAATTTCATCATTTTGCAGTTCTGAGGAAGTATCCCACTGTTCCATCACCATGGTTTCTTGCAAGGCTGCAGGCCTGGATGTCAGGACTGATGTTTATGCAGCCAATCAGTAAGAAGATCCAGATAAAGGAGTCCAATCAGAGGGATTTGTGAATATCATTGCCTGTAAATAATGAATTCCCTCAGCCTTGTTCTCTGCCTTTTGGAACAAAATTTAGGAGCGGGTCCTTCATTAAATCAAGAGTATCATTCACAAAAAAAATGGCAAAATGCCAAGACACAATTCCGGTAAATGGAAAATATGTATGCAAGTAAACTTTTAATACTGTCAAACTTCTACAAAGATTCATACATGTATTTTGCCAACACCATATGAACAATGATGAAAACAAAAAAATTATATAAACATTTGCTTGTTTTTCTTGTGTGCCTCTTACTTGGATGCTGGGGACATACTTGTGTGATATAATAGATCCCATGTGAACAGTCTTCTAGCCAAAGTTACACATGGCTATTTGAAATGAGGATCAATGTATGATATTCAATTAAAAGCCTTAAATTTGTACATCATGTCAACACACACGAGCCGCCACAATGCAGCTAACTCTTTGTACCTGTGTCAGGTTTTATATGAATATAAGAGTAGCTGATGAGTATCTGGTGAGTAAGTGTATGGTAGTCAATGCATGTCTCCCTATACAAGGAATTATGTGCCAAGAAAGAGGTGTGGGGGGGGGGGGGCACTTTTGGAGTGTGGGCTGCTTCCTACACTAGTGGGCTGTTAAAAAAAAAAAGAGGTTTGAAAAGGGGTTCAGGATTTCAATACCATAATCTACCCCAACCAGTACCGCTTAAAAATGATTAACACCAAATCTATAACTATTTATTAAATAGTTTTTTTTTTTTTTTAAATCTTTTATTAAAATCCATAACCAATTTCAAAACAAAACTTAATGCTCATACAAGAAGTTATCTGCAATTTCCAAACACTGACACCGATCGTTTGAATGAATGTGCAGGCAGTTTTCTGGTAGAGTAGCTAAGAATGGAGAACCCAGTACAAAAATCTGGATCATTCTAAAATTTCTTCACTTAAATCTGACATCTAGCAAATTTTATGTGAAGACATTAAATTCGACATCAGAATTTGTGCCCATACAGATATTAACATTCTTGGTATTTAAGTGCCACAAATTATGTTTAGTTGTTAGGCCCTTCATCCCAATAAGGTAAGAAATGAAGTGTAAAGCCCATTCACAATGTGGGTATATTCGTACATAGTGATAATGACCTTAGATTTAATGCAATTATTAATGCAACATCAACATGCTGACCACCTTCAAAATCTGGATATTTAAAGCAACCCCAATGTCCTTACCGCCATAGAGCTGTTTACCCAAAGACAAAATGGTTTTAGACTACTACACCACTGACAGCATGGATGCTATGACTTTACCCTCTGAGGTCAGAGACAAAATAGAGAAGTGAGGCATGCATTTCCTTCTCAGTTTTGAGCAATGTAGTCACACTGAAGGCTAAATTCCGCATCTCTCGCTCCGCTGGAGAAAAGCACATGCAAGTCACAGGAAGTGACTTGCCACCGGTTTGAACGTGGGAGAAGTTAGCCCAATAACCCCTGAGTAGGAACGCAGTCAGTAAACACCCAACACTCCTCATGACGATTAGCATGGGAGGCACAGCACCCAATCACCTGTTGTCTGGGGCCAGCAGTCCACTTTCCTTGCAACAGACAAACAGGAAACTCGTCCTGTCTCCGTGCATCTTTTAGCTTAATTCTAGACTGATCTGACTACCTGTGTCACTGTTTGCTGTCGTCTCTGTAGCCATCAGCTGGGAATTGGGCTGTCCTTCCTTATCCTAGTGACATCACTGCTCTCAACGTGCCTAGTTTATACGGAGGGTGCAATAAAGCAATAGCTAGTTTAGGTTTACCACCCCCCACTCCTATAAAAGATACCCCAATAAACACTGGACTTGTGTCCGTCGCTTCCAAGCACTAAAATTGAAACCACTGTAAAATTCAAAAAGTCAACCGGTGGTCCCGGTAAAGCACAGAAACGGGACAGCATCTACAAAATGACACCGACCACACAGCACTGTGAATACCTTACATGTTACATGTAGGAGCCCCTCTTCGGGAAAGACAACGGCCAAGTTCAACAGGAGGAGGATGATGATGCAAATCACCCAAACTTCGGGGCTTAGGTGAGGGGTGTGCCTGGACGCAAAAAGGGTTCAAGTGTGTTTCTGTCCCTGAGAAAAAAAGGTCCGACATCATCCAAACAGGCCAGGATGTCAGGAGGTCAAAGGTGGGCCGGGACCGTCTGCAATGCATCTTCTGAGGTACGATGTATATGAACATTCTGGAAGAGAACAACACAGCAGTCTTCAGCTGTGGACAGTAACTGACAAGGTGTGATGGATCTGATCAAGACCCTGAGAGGCCAATAAACAAATTGCATTTACCAGATTCTTTTACAGAAAGACACAAATTGTAACCCTTCCTTCTACTGTATGTTCTCCCTGGGATTTGAACCTACACCTCTTGGATTGCTGGTGCAATGCATTACTTGTTGAGCTACAGCAGCTAATTCCATAAACTCCAAAATTCTCTCATGTTATTAAAAGAAATCTTGTCACTTTAGTCTGATTGTAGAAAATCCTATTATATAAAAGGACCTCTAAAAAGATTAAACCTGCCTCAACTAATTCAGTTAGAGAGATACTTTACTAAGCCCAATGGAAATTGCACTACAGGAATTTTGCATTTTAGTGCTTTTACAGTCACTCTTTGCATTATATCAAATTATATAGTCCAATGTCATAGAAGCAGTAAAGTGGATGGGATGCTTCATAGGAGGAGAAGAAAAAAATTGTTTTAGACAAAAATGAAGTGAAGAGCCGACATAGAAAGTGGTCCTCGATGATGTGAAAGTAATGCCATCAAATCCCCCCAACATGGCAACTGCAGCTTTTGGGCTGGTCAGGAACTGGCAAGATTCAATGAAATATGAACTTCCAAGCCTGTCAGGACCCCAGAGGGATCAGCGGGTGTCAGTTAGTGAGTCAGGAAAAATGGAACAATTTAAATCAGCAACACCATGCTGATGTCAGCCTTGGGCCGCCAGATAAGTCAATCCACCCCTGTTAACCAACCAATACACATCCTTCCATGATGGCTGATATCAGTGATAAGCAAAGCACTCAGTATTTAGTACAAAGATCCAGTTCTTCCACAACAGTCACTCTAAACAACAGACTTTACCTACCTCTGGTCGGTCTCTATGGGTATTCACTGCATCCACATTGAGGAAGATGGACTCTACCTTACAGCCTGAAAACACAACACTTCAGTTCAACATTTACTGTTTTTCTTCCACGTCCTTCTTTCTGACCAGTCATTTTGTCATCTATGACGAAGGCAAGGGGAATGAGGTTCATCCCATAAAAAAGCCTGGAATGTTCACCGAGCTGCAGCAGCCAGCAAGACTTACCATAAGCCACGGGAGTGAGCTTCATTACCGTGTGCAGTGGACATTTCAGGTAAGGCAGCTTCTCTGCGGGACAAGGAAAAAAAATTAATAAAAAGTAGCACGTGTGTGACACAGGAGCAGCCTGCTGCCAAGCCGGGAGGGAGGACAGGCCTGGATCACAGTGACATGGGGCAGCACCTGCAGAATTGTCCAGGAAGTAGGCCAAGAGACAGCGCATGACAGCTTGGTGGCAGATGACCAGCACGTTCTCCTGCCTCTCCAGCTCCATGATCACCGGCTCGAGCCGCTGGACCAGGTCCTCATACGACTGCGGGGGCAGGGTGTGGGTCAGACATGCAGAAACTAAGAGTGTTACTCAATACCAAGAATGAAAAGACCATACTTGTGGTCTTGGCAAGACCGGTCTTGCTAACTTGCCTCCCAAGAACAAACTTGGACCGCAATGAATCATGGGACTGGTCTTGTTTGGCAAGGATGCAACCGATGCATCTTTGAAATTTGGGGAGGGCAAGAACGATATCTGGGGATTTTTTACAGTACTTTTGCATTTCTGTTCTTGAGTATTGGAACGGGCACACACGAACGCAAGTAAACCAATACCAACAAACTCACTGTTTGCCATTCCTTTCCTTACCTGCACTAGCACAATGAAATGCTTAGAAGCTATTTCATTTTTAATGGTCAATAAAAGACAGATCAACTACTAATTATACATGCTCCCCAGGAAGTAATCTGTGACACTCAAGATTAATTCAGAAACTCTACTAAACTCAGAAATGCGTCTTAATTAAAATTCCCTGCAATACTACAGATGTACACATTTACAAGTGCTGACTACTGGACAATTCTTTACTAGCTGTCTAAGTCTTCTAAGGAGACCCAGGCACACACCTCCAGATGATCTCAGATACCCAACTAACCCGGACCCGGGCCCCTCCCTGCTCACCTCCCCCTTGGGATAGCGGTAGCGGTACTTGTCCTGGTCCCTCAGGGCGAATTCGAGCGGGAAGTGGTCTTGGATCTCCTCGTACATCATCTCCTCACACACGCCCTGAGGACAAAGTCCACATGGGGGTCAATAAAGCCTCCTACACACACAGCCCTTCACCCATCCAGTAAGCACCCCCCCACCCTGCTCTCAGTGGGGCCGCCTCACCGCGTCAATCTCGTTCAGCGCCTTCCACTGCTCGTACGGCGCACCCAGCGCCTCTGCTGTCTGGATGGTCCTCTTCATCTGGCTCGTCCACACCTTCAGCTCCTTGATGTTCTGCTCCAGGATAAATTGCTTCAGGCGCTTCCCAAACTGAACCCGAAGGAGCGACACAGAAAAGTTTCAGAAACCGACACAGAAAAATGATGCTCTAAAACCACATTTTTATAAACCATTTTTTTTGTTCAAGTATAAATAAATATAATAATGGAGGGTGCTTCAACTATGTAGCAGATTACCGGTACAGCACACTGTAGCTTGTCCAGTAACAGAGTTCATGTTTTAAACGTGATCTTAAAATAACACCATATATCCTCAAGTACATTTTTCCTTAAGTGCTGTGGCATAAATCAAAATAACACAAATTGCATAGTTACGTATTGTGTTTGCATACAACACCTAAAATGCCAGTTTCCAGAGTTGGACAGAAACACTTTGCAAAGAGATACATACCTCCTTGCCCCTTGGCGACAGTCCAGAATCTCCCCCAATACGCCCTTTGACGTTGAGATCGCTCTCACCATGGCGACACAGGTAGATGGAGCGTGGAGTGATGTGAGTGTTCATCAGATAGTACACAATACGGCTCTGGATGTGGTCCAGCACCCGGTTCACCAGGTACTGACGGCCCACGTCTATGATTTTGATGTAGGACAGTTCCCTGTGAGTCAGAGGGCACATCAGCGGACAAAATGTCCCTATTTTAGTCCCTCAAATGCAGCTGTTATATGCTCTCAGAGACGCAGTTTCATAAAACTGTAAATGAATGGGGGCAAGACATTACCCAGTGTTCCCAACAGAAACATATGGGGCACTTTGTTGGGTCATAGTAACAATGTGCTGACCACCTTCTACATCAGGGCCTTACCTGTCCAGAACCTCGTCCAAGGTCTGGTATGAATTCTCGTAGCACTTGATCCTCATCATAAAATCCTCCACGGCCTCCTCTGTCTTGCAGTTGGTGTAGTCCGGACTGCCCAGCTTCACTTGCTATTCAAACAGGTGACGATACAAACCAAGGTGTATCACGGGCAAAAAAAAAACCCAAACTGCTGATGAAATAGTCAATTGTTACTTTGTCCAAGATGTTCCTCTATTTAAAAAAAGCAGAGTTCCTCACCACAATGTTCTGTTCAATGATATCAGGGTCCTCACACACAGATTCCACGAAGAACACCTGAGAAAGTGCAAGTCAGCAACTGCAAGTTAGCAATGGAGCATGGCGCCCCCCCCCACCCCCCACCCCTGCGCAGGAATGCTGCAGGGTACTTAACCTACCTTGTAGCCATTCTGCTCAGCAAATCTTGTAATTGTCTCTCTCCGTTCCCTTGTGGTATTGGTGGCATCAAACACCTGGTTTGATTAAGGAATGACTCAATATTTCCCTTACAATTAATACACTCATATACTTTAAAAAAATGTATTTATGCATAAAATATTTAACATTTAACCAAAATCCAATGAAAACCTTACTCACACATCAACTCAAGCGAGAATACCAATGTAAACAACACGAATCACAGAAAATCAAAAATGTAACACCCCCCCCCCAACTCACCGCCACCTGGCCACCCTCGACTCCTAGATAATGCCGGACATCTTCCAGAGCAGCTGATGCACACTGCCTGCCATGGTTACAATAAGACAATGAGCCAAACCAGCAAAACCAGCCATCTTCCCCAAGAACTGAAAGCGTGCATAGAGAATTCACGAACACACCATTTCCTCAAAAAGGATCTCACTCTAAAAGACAAAATTCTAAATTGAAAACATGCAGTAATAGCAATTTTAAGTATCCTTTGTGTGTTTTAAGGCTTTGTGTGCCTCAATTTATTCATCTGAACCTTCTGAAATGATCAAAACAGAATTGAGGAAAAAACTAACATCAAACTTCCTGTACTGTTCTGCTTAACCAGCAGCAGTTCAATTCACCATAAATCAAAACAAGGGATTACTCATATTTCTGCTGAAGCCTGAACAGTACCGATCTGTAACAACACGTTTTCATGATGTGCCACTGGGACTATACATGAATGCCACGCTTACTTCCTTATCCTTAAACCTTCTTCATTGTCCGGCCGAAAGAACTCAAACGATTTGTAAATCTTCAAACACTCTCGACGGTACTGGCCAACGTTGAACTCTGAAAGGAGAGACAGACCTTTAACACTTCCTGTGTTTGAGTGACCACATATCACTCCCTTTAAAATCACATTCCACAACTGCTTAAAACTACGGCATCAAGAGTGAAGCGGTACCTTTTGTGGGCACGCCGATCCAGTTCAGGTAGCGGGTTAGCTTTTTGGAGATGTAGGTTTTCCCTCGAGCTGGAAGGCCAACCGTAACAATGAGGGTGGGGCAGTTGGTCATACACACTACGGAGAAACAGAGACTGGCGTAAGGCAGACAGCAATGACACAGACACCAACTTAACCAAACCATGTTTATGTCCATAAGGCTTCCTGCTTTCATTATCAAGTCAACAGAGACCAATTTAATTAGAATTTTTTTTAATGCGTTTGCATTTTGGTAATTACTCAACTTTTTTTTCCAGATTAATCTTTAAAAAAAAAAGTCACTCACTAAAACTCCATAACAAAAATAATCTGTATCATATTCAAAATATAAATTTTTAGATTAATACCAACCATGCTTGTATTAGGGTAAAAATGTCACCAATAAACTGATATCATAGTGTGCAAAAGCCCTTTGTTTTGTCCAACTCACAATGCTTGAAATATGGAGAACAACTGCAAGTGTTTGTAAATGTCCTGCGCATACATTTTTTTTTTTTTTTTTTTTAGGATGGTGAGGGGGGGGTGACATAACCTTCCTATAAATGACATCAACGACTCCACAAGAGTTCTCTCAGTTTTGGGGAAGTAAGCAGATCATTTCATACCTCAGAAGGTAAAGGCACCCTGCATCCATCAACACGGTACTGTGCAGTCCAAGCAATCTAAATTACAGAATGAGGATCTAGTTTGTACCAGCAGGTTTCACTCCAGCAGAAATGGGACATAATTCAGTTGATATTGTACACAGCACACACTGAAAAACACCAGCGAACTCTAGCAATTTACTTGTAATGGTTTCTGAAGACAAGCTGAATAAGGAAGCAGAAAAAAGGGCATTCTGTCCCCTGACAATTGGGCTGAATACATGCCATTATTTTGCAATTGTGACTAAATGTATGATGAAATCCATCTACTGGAAATAAACTTTGTACTGGTAACATGAACACCAGGGCTGCCAACTCTCACGCATCTGGTGAGACACTCATGTTTTCTGACTCTCACTCTTACGCAAGAAATCTTACGCCGTATCTATATTATTATATTATAAACCTAATATTAGCTATATCAGAAGTGTTGGGGTAGTTGGCAAACCTTACAGACTAATTAAAAGGTAAAAAAGCTGTTATATACACGTAAATGGGTGAGCAAAACTCAATCCAGCCATACAACAGCATCCGGGAAAGCTTCAGAATCTGAATAGCGGAGATGCTTCGGAGAACAATCCGGCAGAGTACTGGGTCCTCAGAACGTCAAATCAGCAGCACAAGGTTTTACCAAAGTAGGAATATCAATCCATATCACTGTCACAAAACCGGGGTACTTATGATTTGAAGTACAAGTACTGTATTTTCACACATCTGCGATTAGGGAGTTTCCCATGCGATTCTTTTTGTGGGTCTGTAATAAGCAACTAATTCTCAATGAAAATTCATGGATTTCATTGATTTCTTTCACTGATTAACTCGGACTTAAGAATAAAAAAGCTTTGAACAAACTGACTGGCTTTAATCAATGTAATGATTCAAAATCATATTCCATTCTTATAACCATGGCAAATGCAGCATTAAAACGCACTTTTATAATTTTATTACTATCACGCATAGATAATTAAACGTTTAAGGAAACGTGCCGAGCTTTAACCTCTGCACAATTTAAAACACCTTATGTCGGCAGATGATCATTTGCAATGCATATCACTTAAAAAGAAAACTCTGCTGTCACATTTACTTTATTTGCGTGAAAAAATGAGGAGTGGCTGTTGCCGACCCATGCGGGATGCCGATCAGTCACGCAGAAACAGCTAACCTGGCTGCAGATCGTCGGTTACACCTTAACTAACAATGTTCGTCATTAACTGATACGATAACTGATAAGATAGCCTGATCAAACAAGGCTTCGCTGGGTGGCGAACTATTCTTCGCAAACTCAGTGAGACAAATTAGGAATATGTTGCATGCTAATTAGCTATCTTATTGTAACCCACCTTATCATCAACTTCCACGCTTTCGCTTCAAGCCCTACTGTAAAAATGGTTTCGGGACGTCGCCATCTCACACACAATATGACGGGACATTTAATGCGAAGCGCGATTACTTATTATTGTTTAGATCTCGATTAAATAATACGAAAGAAACATTGTAGCCCATCGCGTCGTGCCGGTATACTGACCTTTTCTTTGAGAAATAGTTCTTTCCGGATGCCCATTTTTGCATGGCATCCAAATTTTCTTGAGCGGGTTCTGAGTAAGCTGCCGAGGAGACGGCATCACGGGGACCTCCGGGCAGACCTCCATCGCAGACCGAGCCGTCGACGGTACCATCGCCGCGCGCACCGCCTTTTACACACTTTTCGCACGAATACCGCAGCGAGGGCTGGTGCCTCAAGGAAATACGGTCTTTACCGTAATGCGTATAAAATATGCTCGAAATAAAGCGATTCGCATCACGCTCGCAACGAAAAGCGGTTAAAATATTACCACACATCAGCGTGCTGCAATTTACATGAAACACTTTAATTACATAACATTTCATACATACAATTAAGAATGATAAATATCTGTTAAGTACTTTGGGAAGTGCAGTATTATAACAAAGGATAACGGTAAATGATAGCACAAATCCATTTTTCATCCTTTGATGAAGTGCTCATACACAATGTTCTTCATTTATTACTGGACCCGCTATATAATTTCTCAGATGCCAGTCACTGAGGCTGACTGGACTCAGTTTTTATTCCCGTAGACATCCCTTGGGTTTTTAACTAAGAATCCTGTTAGTGGACGCTATCCTGTACGGCGTTCATACGGCCGTATTTTAATGTTAATGTTATTTAAACGTTAATGTTGCTCTATAATGCCGTATTGTAATGAAACAGCAAATAATCATCGCGCATAACTAGCGCCGTTGCGCTAAAAAGTTGTAATATCACGCTCATCTTGTACCCAAATCCAATCTAATTATATCAGAATGTTTAATAATTTCTTCTCAATCCGTCAATTAACGAGAAGGCCTGTTTAGATATGATCTACTATATAAGGCGTACCACTACAACGTTTAAACATAGGATATACGGATAGGTTAATAAAATATTCACAGGTATCATGTACGTCAACGTGTACGTCCCGATGAAATGTCTCACGTAATATATAACTTTCAAAGCTGGTATCATTTTAGGATTCATATTACAAAAATTCTCTCTCTATCCTTCCATCATTTAAAAACCCTTTACGCAACCCCGCTATTATACAGTAATGACTAACGGTTTGTCTGTCCCTGTGTGGCAGGGATCTGTTGTAGTACCACTTCTCACCACGCAAAGGAGCTCTGAGCGGAAACGTCACCTTTACGCCATCAAAGGAAAACCTCATTTTAGAATCTAGGTCAAAGGTCTTGGACGAATTTCCTGGAAGTCCATGCATTATTTTTCCAACCCTGTGCACTATTTCGCTATTTTGATTACTATTCAAGAAACAAATTTACATATAAATGTTGTAGGCATGCACGAACAGTATTTGTTTGAAAATAAATAGCTTACAGCCATACTCAAAATGCTAAATATATTGTGCACCATTTAAACAAACTAGCAAAGAATGAGGTGCATTGCTAAATGGCCTTTCTTATACAGCAAGTGCACAAGGGGGGTTGAGGGTGCCTGAGCAGCTGCCCGTTTTACATGAATGACTTAAAGTGTCCCTTTTCTATAGCCGACAATCACACAAATCTGGAAAATGTTCCGGTTGGCTGCCCCCTACCCCCCACCCCATTCAGGCACCTGCCCCTCGAAAATTCTGTGCACATCTCTGCTTCTTATTAAAATATTTCATATAATAACACTCAGTCAGGTTAGGATGACAGTGTTAATGCATTTGTTTACACTATAGAACAGCACTACTTGCTACAAAAACCGAGTGACTCCTTTTCTGCGCTTTAAAAAGTCTAAACTGCAGCTAAATTAAAAACAAATTAGCTTTCCCCTGCCTTCCAGCAAGCATACCTTACAGTGTTTCCACTGCCTTCCTGCCTGGCTCGGCTTGTACCTGGATCCGCATAAGGTACAAATGCCTTTGCCTGAGCTACAGTGTTTGCAAGGGGGCCTGTTTCATGTGGGCCCCATTTCAGGAGGCCAGACTGACTCAGGTAATGCACCCGGGAACCTGCAACAATCCAATAAAATCCCAGGAAATTTAAAACTGCTGGACCCTAAAACTCTGAACTTAATTTTACCTTCTTTAGAAAATATCCATTTGTGTAAATCATGTGCATGCAGAGCACAAGGGATCATGTTTATGAATGTGATGCTCCTTGTGCATATGACTGTATTGCAAAATGCTGATTTTGCATAAAAATGAAGACCCACACCTCTACTGTAGCAGAACTGAAACTGTGAACTGAAACCAATTTTTTAAACGTTTCATGTCTCATACAAGTTAGTTTAATGCCCTACTTAATTTGCACGCCTTGTATATCCCATAATGAGACATAATTGTCTCTGATTATTGTCCTGTATCATGTGACTTTATTTCGTCACACATTTAAACTGAACATCACTGCTTACTGGCATTTGTCAATGAAATGAGATTTGCTTCTTCATCCTTCTTCCAAGGCCTCCTTCTGCACCCCTCAACCCTACGAAAAATATCCGAGATCACTCTGGAAGGATCTACTAGATTCAACCCTGCAGATGTGAATCCGACCCAGAAGGCCACCCAGTCCAGCTGACTTACGCTCTGTAAGCTTAAGACATAAAGCGCAGAGCTGAAAAAAACAGCCAGGGTGCATCATTTATTTGGTTAACACGGGCCACTGTGCCAAGCAACTGACAGACCTCTATGCCATTCTGACAAGACTTCTTGCTGAAGGGTACAACAGCAGGTTCCACACCTGAACCAAAATGGCAGCTCTGGGATCTGGCTGGTAGATAGCTGAGGTCCGACTGTGTTCTTTAAAGCCAGCCCCCCTGGAGGCTGATAATCCGTGAAGACACCTGTCCAGCTAGTTACTCGGCACACAAAAATCCAGACGCACACACTCTCACATCCCCACTGATCACATGCTCTAAACCCAGACGCCCAAAGAGTAAAATGTACCCCTACCATTTGTATAGCTGCAATAAATATGTTGCAAAAATATTAAGTGTTAAATAGAAAACAATGACACAAAATGCATATCTATCACTGACTTTGTATCAAAGGTAAAAGGTTTTTTTTTTATTATTTTACTAAAAACAACAAAAATTGAGTATTATTATTGCAGTGCTGCCATAGAGAGTGAACCAATGCCTTAACTCTTATCCAACTTCAGGTTTTACTGAATGCTGATTTTACCTTTTAAATGTGTGGCGACATTTAGGTCAGACCAGCTTTCTTTATTTTGAAAGGGCAGCCAAACAGGCAGTATGAGAGTCTGGGTGAAACAAAGGCTCAACTAATTAATAAAATTCCTGTAAACAGTGTTGAGGACACGCCTCCTTCGGCCCACACCGGCCGAAACGCTGATCGCACGTGCAGCACGCACTCTGCTAACAGAAGGCCGACATGCCCTAACAAGAAGCTTTCATAAATTTAAACTTTAAATGTAAAGACATGTTACACAATCACCATGTACTGGATATGTGACTATGGAAGGAATTCATTCAACCCATATAATCCATTATTTGTGCATAGGGAGGAGGTGTCTTTGTGTCTACAAACTAGAGGTCTTAAGTAGCTAAAAAAACCCACCTAGTATCATAATCATAAAGCCAATTGTTTCGTTATGGCAAATGCTAATACAGCTATTTAATACTTAGTTCAGCCTGGGAAGAAAGGGACCAAATATCTGTAGAGATTCAGGCTACAAAAATGCAATATGCTAGACAGGAAAATCAAAAGGGAGTTTTATATTGCAATCACACAAAGGCTAATCGCACTGCAGGGCTGAGGTCTGACAGTGTGAATGCGATTCATCTGAACTCATCTCATCAGCTTCCCAAGACAGCCAGACTGTAAAGAGCAACTGCACCTCCTTCGTAGCCCACCTCCATGACACTGTCTCCCAAAGAGACACCCAGCGACAAGAGGCAGATAAGGCCCCAGTCATCACCACGTGTCATTAACACTCATGCAAAAGCAGAGGGTTCGAAACATCCGCCCCGGTCTGTGTCATAAGCAGACAGACTGCTGGGAAATCCCGGGGAGAGCAGAGGAACAAGGTGCAGCGTGTCAACTGTAGCAGATTTCACAAGACCCCTTCGGTATGATCCATAGGACTGCACTGCTCAGAATGTCGTTTCCAAACTTGCACCTTTGGCTCATTCCAGACAGTTTACTAGCTTCATATCATACCTTAATACTTCATACTAGCTTCATAGTCTATACCATCACAGCAGGGCCGGGCTGCACTACCTTGGATTGTGGCCCCATATTTTATTCAAAAAAGCAAATTAAAACAAAAACACAGCTACTGGCACCAATACCATTTAATTCATAGCTACTTCAAAGATTTGTAAACAAGCGGTTGGCCCAGCATTCTGGTGGTCAGTCACACCTTTGCTAAAGCTCTAAGCCATCCATAAACACCGGATAATAAATCCCACAATTAGCTTGAAAACTAAAAATAAGAATAATCGCTATATTCAAATAATAATCAAAGTGACTTGTTCTTACTGAAACAAACAAACTGATACCCGTTATTGAACCAAGGCCAAATATACACATAAGGTCTTCAAAGTTAAGTTATATTTTAGAAGAACTGTTGTTCTTTTATTCTGTTCCCATATATCATAGCTAAATGATAATAAAAATAAAATTAAGTGAATCTGACGCCTAATTTCACTCTACTCTCTAAACGGGAAACACGATGCAACTTCATTCACGCAATTACTGTAATAATGTATACAAACACGTAATCGGGGGGGAAATCACTAGCACGACCGTTTGATTCACGATAAACAACAGCTTCAATCCCAAATCGGACAATCTCAGTCTCGGAGGAGATGTTCCTGTTCCACTTCAGTATAACACATTACATAAATAGATCGGTAGGTATAGTGAGAGTAAAGGATCATCGGGTAACATATCGTAGCCATTGCTTACATGCAGACTTGCACGGTTAATAGTTGTACCCGAACAGTCAGAAACAGAAACAAAAATACTCTTCGATAATCAGCACTGGCTGCAAGTAAAACGAAGCTACTGTATCTGCATGTAAAGCCAAAAACGCTACTGGGGAGAAGCATTTTACAACAACCCAGGCATGGCAAATATAATCTAATTATAAATCTAATTATCCGTACACCTAAACAGAAGCAGCGGAATTTTAAGTTGCGGAGTTGGCGTTTAATCCACACGACCTGCGTTTCTTCAACAGATGTTTCTGTGTTATTGAAATAACAGCTCGCATCGAAGTCATACTGAATGCACTGGAAAACAAAACGAAGCAGATCCGTACCAAATTATCTAAGCACACCGATATAGCTATTAAACGTGCCCCCTGACATTGCATGCATCAGGGAGGTAAATGTATAGTCTGGGAGTGTAGAAAAGGGTCTCAATTCAGAAAGCGGTGCCTACGTGACCGATCTTGTTTACTTCTCCAGTCCCACACCAGCTTTCTTGGATGAGCTCCGCACAAGCCCTCCGCCTCGGCTACCGCGCCTACAGGGCAAGCGATCGCAATGTCAGCCGAATGCCAAGCGGCCCCTCACCGGTTCTGTTGAGGTTCCGTGTGCTGTCGGCACCGCCGGAGCCCCTCATCGTCCGGGTGTCGCGGAATCGCAGTCCGCCGCCAGCGTAGTGGTCCGTATGAATAAGGAGCGGACTAGTAGGCACGGCGGCGCAGGGGACGCACTGAGCGCAGCTTGCGGGGAGGCTGCTGCGCCCTGCATCCGTGTGGCTTTTTAAAGCGCTCACTCGACTGTCATCGCACTTCAGCGCCTGGTGACATGAAGCAAGCATTAATACTGCTGCCGATATGCTCAGATATTAACTGGATATTAATATTCCTGCCAAACTTCTCAGGAAATGTGACAGCCTTTGTTTTCATTTAACAAAACATTATATTCTTTTATTTCTAATACTCCATGGTGTTTTCACGATACTTTTAAAGCCATTTTCCTTATTTTTTTTAACTATAATATTTCACTAACGAAATGTTATATTTAGGCATCAAATTGTTTTAATATGCCATCTATATGACCTAGTTTAATATGTTCAATATGTAAAATATTTTATATGTTTGAGTACTTTATATTGGTTTGTTTTTTGCTGTATATATAAAATTATGTAATAGAGCTTTGTCATAGAGCAAACGTCAGTGAGGGTTAATTCGGATTTCTATCGCTGGCATAATTCGCTTAGAACTGGAGTTACAGGAATAAGTCCTTTTGAATGGCATGTAACCCTTAAAGGTCGTATCTATTTTAATACACATAACGATAGTAGCAGGACTGTGCATGATAATGGAGGTAATGACTCCATAAATGCTGCCATTTCTTTGCCAGCGTCAGTCTTAGTCAGCTGCCATGAAAAAATGCAGACAGATTCTATTTTAGGGTTCGGGGGTCAAAGGTCAGGGTTCAGGGGGGCTGTAGCATGGAGGCCTGGAGTGGAAAACATTGTGATTAAGAAAAGTAAACAAGAGAGAAACAGCAGGATTGCAGCCTGTAAGACACGCCTTTTGTGCACTACCCCAGGATCTACTGCATTCCTCTTAAAAGCCCCAGTTATTACTGTCTCCCTGTATCGCTTCATTCCACTGACAAAAGACAGCTGCTGAGTGATGGAAGGACTCTCATTATCTCTCATCATTATCTCAAATTACCAATGCAGCGTCCTTCCCTGCTTCTCTATGAAGCGAGGAGCAAAACATGGATGGACATCTTTAAAAGAAAAGTGAAAACACCACAGGGTCCAGCTTAGCAAGTGAGTATTAACTGTTTGATTTGTCCTCAGTCTGAATGGCAGAAACTAGATGCAGTGCTTGAATAAGCTCTAGCGCCGAGCTCCTGTACTGCTTCCGCTTGTATTATTATTATTATTATTATTATTATTATTATTATTATTATTATTATTAGCGCCGAGCTCCTGTACTGCTTCCGCTTGTACCCGGCTGGTCATTGAAACTTCCCAATGAATTATACACTTATACAAACTTACAAATAATGTTTCCCCCTAAATAGGTGGGGACCTCAACCCCTCCCCAATGTTCAAACCAAAGTTGCACCCTTGGCTCGAACCCCATTGGAGTAACAGTTGCCTTATTGCAGAAGAGGTGGACCATAATCCAGTTAAGATGCATTAAATCGTACTGTAGGCAAAGCCTTCTTTACACAGGGTACTGATGAATGTACAGGCCAAAACGTGTTGGTGTTTATAAGCTGTCACTATATAAACACACATTTGAAGTTAGAACATTGCTAAGTACAATATGCTAACCCAGACCCTACACATAAATGGCAGGTAAACACCTGGCTCAACATGATTAGTGTGATGCTAATCTATGCCTTGTCATTGTTTGCTATAGACGCTCCCTGAATTAAACACCTGGTCCCTGTTTTGCAGTTATTGCAAAGAATGAAAGCCTACCAGACACAGACCCTAAGTTTGATGGCAGTTTCCTCTGACATCTGACACATTTCAGTGAATGTTTCTTTAAAAATGGATTTTAGCTGGGTGCCAATGTAAAGGAGAGCTCCCTGTGTGAAGGCCAAAATACTTCACTGGCTCCTTCTTCGATCGCTTGTTAAATCCCATTAAATTTAATTATGAATGATATGATGTTCATGCCTGAGCACAGCTAATGGGTGAAATCACAGATGGAAAATGTAACTGAAAAACTGGCCAAAATTCCAAAATGTTCATCTGCAAATTTATAAGCTATTTGTGCAAGCCATGTTGATAAACATTCTTTCTTAAATGCCGCCACACAAAGGAAAGAATAAATAAATTAAAATAAAGAAATAAGCTATACCACCTGATTCAGCCCTTATACTGAATGCCAACAGAAATCCTCTGGAAGCTTCCTGCATTTTATTTTTACATCTTTCCAGTCACAGGCCAATTCATCAGCTGACCTGATCCCGAGGTCTTATGGGAAGTAGAGTTCTGTATCACCACCCTCATCCATCACATAGAAATATGACAACAGTTGGACCAAGATTGAAGACAGACACTGTGAAAAAGTCTGCGCCAATGTGTTTTATTTAACACATCATGATGGTGTACATAACAATGAAGCAGGACACAAACAATACAAATAATAATGGCAGTGTAATGACTAAATATAATCTTTTACTCTGCAATGACATAATATTTCTGTGATCAACACTTGTGGCGCATTAAGCGTAACACAGTGTCTTCAGAAAAAATACTAAACATTTACCTGCTGCAATTGCTACCAGCTTCTGATGCTCTGAGTTGTACAAGCAAGACAGAAAATGAGAAGGAAAGATTCCACACACAAAAAAAAAACAAGAAAAACCTCTGCATTTCCTCCAATTCCTGAGGCCTTGGCTGCAAAGCCAATATAGCAACATCTCTGTAGTCACAAATACAAGGTGCAGTCCAGAAGGGGCTGGTAGGAGGGGCCATGAGCATCCCGGGCATTTCAATAGGTGGAAAGGGAAGCATTGCGGCTCGGGATTGGTCACTGATGCTGCACGTCTTCCGGATGCTGGAATGGGATTCGTTTGGAGAGGCAGCTCTCTGGATATACATAGTGCAGTAGAAGTACGCACACTGCCAATGTGCACCAGGGAACAGGACTAGGGATTAATGTCACCCTTAAAGAATGCCACTCTAGACTGTATTTTCTTCCTAATGTTCGAAGAACCCATTCCGAATTGCCATGGTGCACCTCTCACTGCCTTTATCCGCAGTGCCAGCCTCCCTCTAATGCACTTGCCAGCTACAGGACCAGCTGTGCCACCCAATTCCATCACCCGTCCTTCTTCACACTGCAGCTCTCACTGGCTGTTACACACAGTGCTTCCCATCTTCCCTTTGGCGGCGGCCTTCTTGCGTCTCTTGTTGAGCAGTGTATTGCTGGACGTGTCCAGATCTTTGATCTTCACTTGGTCATAGTCCACACGCATGGTGGCCAAGGCACTGGTCATCTCCTCCTGTAGAAGCAAGCAGTGAAGGTGTCAGATGATCCATAAAGGATCCACATGACATGTACAGGACCAGCCCACCCACTCGTAAATGGTCAGTAAGTACTTATCCATTTGCTGCTGTAGACAGCAGAGAAACAATAGGACACAGAGTTGTCTACATTCTGAGTGGGATGTTCAGTGCATTGCCAGACTGAAAACAGACTGTAAGCAGACTGGAATCACTGATTATCCTGAACCCTCTGTCTTTGGACTGTTGAAGATGGGAGAACTCAGTGGCTTGGGCATAGTGTGTGTGTGTTTGGGGGGGAGGGGGGTTATGTACATATTAGTCCCCACAATGTGTTAAAAACCTGTAATTTTTTCAGTCCCCACAAGAGGAAACTCAATTTTCTAAAAATGTGTAACTGCAATCAAAAAACTGAAAACGACAAAAGTCTTGTATTTTGCTTGTATACTTAAGGTTAAGGTTAGGGATGGGTAGGGGTTAAAGTTGTCATAGCTGGGATTAGGGTTTTTCCCATAGAAGTGAATGGACGGTCCCCACAAAGATATGACTACGAACGCACGTGTGTGTATGTTTGTGTCTGTATGTGTTTGTGTATGTGTGTGTGTGTGTGTGTGTGCCTGCCCTATGTTGCACTGGCATCCTGATCAGGGTGTCCTCCAGCCGTGTGCTCTGTATGTCCTGGAATAGGATTCAGATTCACTATAATCCTGAACTGGTTAATAAAGTAATTGTGAATCTAAAGGTATAACAGTCTTCTAGCACGAGTCACAAAAAATAACAATGAAGCCTGGTTGCAGATATTTAGCAATACATCTAGTGAATTATAGGAAAAACCAATTGCAGTTTTAGCAAAAAGAAATATAGTAGCGTGAGTTATTAGTAGTACTATACTGTACAGATAAGTTATCCACTACAAGCATATCAAGATCAAACTGCATGTGTTTATATGTGAATCATGCAATGTCATTTTCAACAGACACACAGATATACCTGTTCAGGTAATCTGATTTTCTCCTGGTGGCCTATTACACTGACTGGTGTCTGCCGTCTGTAACAGCAGAAGCCTTTAACCCAACCGGAAGTATTAGCTTCTTTTCTGTGTAGTCTATATTTCACCTTTACTGGGAAGCAGAGAGCCTAGTGTCTGAGATTTCTGAAAGGGAGACTGAAGCTGCCAGGAAAACCTGAATAATGAAGGATACACATGCAGCCTCTCCAGTTAACCTGCAGCCTGTAACTTAATCTGGGTAGTACTATATTCCTAAAGTGAAATTGCGACCCCTGTGTTTGGAAAGGATTTTCTGAAAGCACCTGCACTACCCCTAAACACCACTAGATGTCTCCCTCACTCACCTTCACCTCATCCCACATCTCCTTGTCCTCCGTCAGAATACGAGTGGTGTGCAGTGGTGTTGGGGGGACAGCCATTGACTGCTGCAATGAGAAAACAAATTCCAAACACCAGAGGCTGAAAGAAAGTGATACATGCCCAAAGTATCTCAACAGAAATCTACACAAGATGCTCCAAATGAGATAAAGTTAAAGCAAAAAGAAGACATGCAGAGGCAAACATCATAGCAAAACAAAGAAAGAACAGTGAGAGGACCTACATTGATCCAGGAATGGTTCATGAACTGGGTGATGGTCATCCTCTCACTTGGATCTGTCTTTAGCAGCTGGATAATGATGTTTTTGGCTGTATAAGAAATGAGAATTCAAACTGCAATGAACTGTTGTGAGTGCTGTGTCAGCCTTTCCCTGTGACTGTGACGGAACAGATTATTATGACACTGCACCTGAATGGAAACAATCTGCTAGAATTTCATAAGTGTCATAAGCTATGCAAACATTATTTCTACTACTTATGCTAACAAAATCACCAAAAAATTTAATACAATGGTTGTTTGTTTTGGATGAAATAACTTCCAGTAGACATTCTCCATTATTTAATGATTACACACATTCTCATAAACAGGAATGATGCAGAGTGCAGTGCAAATGGAAGTCTGCAGAGTTAGAGGCGTTCAAGTCGGCATAGTTCGACAGCCTGCAACAATATAAGAAAGCCCTATGAAGGGCTTTATCAGACTATTACTCTAACTTTATTGATGCCAATAGAAATAATACTCACTACATTTTTAAGACAATAGCTCATCTAACACATAAGGCTGAACCTCTGCTATCAAGTAACATCAGTAGTGAACATTTTATGGACTTCTTTAACCATTAAATTATCAACATTAGACTACAAACACATTGCAACATTCTGATGCAAACACATGCTAAATGTCGTTGAAAGAGTAGATGAAAAAGACTTAAAAACACTATTAACTATACCAACACCTACCACTTTGACCCAATCTCCATTCCACTTCTTAAAGAATCCCTGAGAGTTCTGACAGAGCATATAACTGGCACAATGAATGTGTCCCTGTCTTCAGGTGCTGTCCCTGACCAATTCAAAATAGCATTTATTAAACCACCACTGAAGAAAACAAACTTGGATCCACAATAGGGTATCACTTAAAAATAAAAGTCTGACATACACATCTCTCACCACCTAGATCTATTCTGTTGGTGATAAAAAAATTCACTTAAAAATATTAACATTTACAGGTAGCCCAAGGCCTCTGAATGTTAGCATTGTAAGCTTAATAACACCTCATGACGACCACGCTTTCACAGGTACCTATCTCGCTAATCTCAGTAACCACACCAATCTCTAACTTATTTATATTTCTGACAGTGATATTTTAGCTATTCTATGAAAGCAGAAACAAAACAAACAGTCAGTCATCTTGTTTTCTGCTGGTGTTTAACTGCTATTTTTCACCAGTCATTCAGTTTGCAGTGTAGTGTTAACTACAATTCAATTTCAATCAAAAGAAGGTAATATATGCATTGCAATAAATTAAATGCATTGTTTTCTTGTGTTTATGTTGCATTTTTGCAACAACCAAGTAGCCTGTTTTACTACAGGACTATGGGCTAAGACACAAAAAACCAAGTTAAATAAGCTGGAGAATGGAGAGAGGAACTTCATGTGTCCTAGTTTTCATCAGTCTTAACTGTAATTTCTGTGCATCATATTTGTTGGTGAAGTTCCTTCACAAGGTGTGAGTATTAGGGCTCCAGGAGCTATGCACCATGCCAGGTGGATGGTGAGGGTTCTGTATGCTTTGAAGATATGTCTGTTTCGTGAACAATTCAAGTTGAGAGCAAGGGAGCAGACATGTCTAAGAGACCTTGCAATTTTTGCAGTGAGGGTGTAAAGATTGGCATATATATACCAAACGAATGTTAAACTTAGCCTTTCAGTAATTTCGTGGTGATCTTTCTTTTTGCAATGTTAGCCAAATGACAATGCAACCAATATATGACAGGTGAACTACATGAAATTACAGAATAAATTTCATTTCTGGCATTATAAATTGTTTTTAATTAAAGTGGCCATGGTAATTTTGGCGGGAGATGTGACGCAGTAATGTTAGCATTAAAGTTAACTTAAGGCTTAAGCTAACATCAGCTATCATATTTCTCAACATTTTACAACAGAGATATTATGATGTTAGCTGCCTGAAGTGTAATACAGGTATTTGAGATGCTGAGATGTATTTCTGATAAGGGATCGTGATCTCAATAGCAGTATTTAACAGTAATGGAAAGATTTTTAAAAAAAGATCGTTCAGTAGCCTATTATTACTTAAGTCGAACATCGACGTTTGCCTATTAGACCTAGCAGATATTATTTGTAATATTACACCACCGTTGAATGTTTTGTTGTGTAGAATGACTTAAATATAAGTCCATTACCACTAGCGAGCAATGCTACTCTGAGGATGGTGCCGCAGCCACGCCTAAACATGTCCTATGGAGAGCGCCAAAACATAGCGTAGCAGTTGTGTGCATTCAGAATTCACCGATTCTATGCCTCTGATCTTGTCAGTAGGATTTTACGGGTAACGTTTGAATACGTATTCTTATGCTCCATACAGTATTATTACAGCTACATGACATAGACCTAAAATTTATGCTAAAATATTTTACAGAGATATGTCTTTATGGTTATTGAAGCAGTGTTAGGCTATATGTTATTTTTGGATGTGCTTTCAGGTTTGGAATGCAATGCAAACTATGCAAATTTGAGAATCCCTCTCCTGATGTACTACTGAAGCACTACAGGTTGTGTCACTATCAAGGACGCTGTTGGTCATTACCCTGTCTCTATCCTGAGTGTATTTGCGCTTACAGAACTCCAGCTGCCTTGAAGTCACATTAATCTCGAGCACATAGACAAATTCCACAACAAGCACCCCATTTAATTTTTTTGTGCGAAACCATATCATATTCATGATTGTAATATGCATTCTTATTTGGACCTGTATGACTTTGTTCCAGAGACTGATGATATATCTGGATTTCTTTATCTTTTTTGTAACCTTAAGATCTTTTAAATGCAAAAAGTGTTTGTATATGCCCAGTGAAAGAGGAATTCCTTTATGACATGTTCAAAGATGTAATGTTTTTATGTTTTTTGATGTAAAAGTTCCACTCATATGCAATCAGGCATGTTTAGTATATTTGTTAGCCTAATAATTAGGGCACACATCCTTCTTGTGGTGCTTTGCTGAAGTGTGTATGTGTGTCAGCAGGGATCTTTTAAGGTGTAGTGTGGTGCTGCAAGAGATTGTACTTTATAAATTCCTTTAAACTTAAATTTATATTAAAAAAAGGTTAATAATTGTGTGTATGTGTATACACGATGTTCAAAAAGGAGAGTGAAATAAAAAGTTGTATTTAATAATTCATTGTCTCTGTCGTGAATAAGATGAACATGTAATTAATTGCCTTTAGTTCTATATGTATTTCATAAAACTTACAAATTAGGTTTAGAGGGATTTGAGCAGACTTAGAAATGTAAGGCAGCCAGCTGCAAAGCATTTCTCAGTTTTCTCAACTTCAATCACCATGCAGTTGTGCAAACCTGCTTTTCTTCTTTGGGTAATAATAATTCACCTAACTTATCATTTCAATCTCAGCAAAATCACATTTACTATTTGATTGTGCTTGCAAAGTGAAGTTGAGGAAACTTAAAGCACTGCCCTGTGAGAACTCACAGTGTAACCTACAGTAGGAAATTAAGTCAGCGCAACTACATGGGCGTGAAGTTGAGAAAACTTAAAAATGCTTTGCAGCAGGTTGCCTTAAATTTTTAAGTTTTCCCAACTTTTTATTTTTGGTTTGATTTGATGTTGGTTTGTTTGGAACGATGTTGAAGTGGTTTAAATCCTATTTGACTAATCAATATCGCTATGATGAAGTATCTAATAACAGCACTCCCCTGTCAATGTCACTGGTCAAATTTGGAGTGCCACAAGGATCAGTGCTTGGACCTATATTTATTCTCTGTACATGCTGCCATTAGATAATATTATAAGAAAACTCCTATGTTGACAACACTCAAATATACGTTTCAGCTACATCTAATCACATCTCATTTATTGCCACTTTAACTAATTGCCTTAATGAAGTTAAGAGTTGGATGAGTGAATACTTTCTGTCACTCAATGCAGAGAAGACTGAGATTCTGCTGTTCAGATGCAAGCGCAGAAACAGAACTACTATAATCTCTGCACTCAGCTCTGAAGGGCTGACCTCTGTCATCTTGTCACCTTAGATGCAAACCTTTCGTTCAGATCTCATGTGGATGCGGGATTGAAGGTGTGTTTCTTATAGCTGCAGAACGTTGCCACACTACAGTGTTTTTTCACTATTCAAGACACTAAAACACCATTACACGTTGGTTAGACTGCTGTAATGCTCTGTTACTCTGGGAGCACATACCGCACATCAGACACCTTGCAGCATATTCAACACGCAGCAGCTTGAATTGTCACCAGGTGCAGGAAATATAAACATATAATCCCTGCACTGGCTTCCTGTCAGGTTCAGGACTGACCTCAAAGTTCTTTTGCTCACATGTATGGCACTGAAACGTCAAGCACCTGCCTACCTAACCAAACTCATCTATGCTTACAAGCCATATAATACACTCAGATCACACAGAATGTCCGGATGTGCCCGGGGTGGGGAGTGCTGCTTCAGTCCCATGGAAGTGTGACATCATGGATGCAGCCTACAGTCTGCCAGCTAACACTGACCTGCATGGAGAACTGGCTCACTGATGCACTGGACACTGATGCACTGGACACTGATGACTGCAGTGTACACCCTGCTCTTATTAAAGCAGACCCATTTTCTCTTTTCTCTAGCATAACTGGGGGGGCTGAACAGCTCGTCGACCTTGGACCCCCAGAGGTTTTTTTTCCCTTACTCAGGAGTTTTTGGTTCCTCTCCTTCATTGTCTTTTGGCATTCTTTCGTTCCTTCTTCCCTTTTTACTCTGGTCCATGCACCATTTTATATAAAGCATGTAATAATGAATTGCCACACACTCTTTTCACGTGCATTGGGGCAACTGTGTTGTGAAAGGCATTATATAAAAACTAAATTAACTGAATTAAAAACCTCAGTGAGATCCCTTTATAAATCTGGCTTTTTTAGTAATCGCTACCATTATCTTATTTTATTCATGTTGCATTCACAAAGGCCCCTTTGCCATTCCGAATGCAGATACAGTCTGAGATAGGGGTGGGTGGTCTTCCCAAAAAATCATACTGAGAAATTGTCTTTGTTC